ATGTTGTAGTGAATTCTGGAAAAAGGAAAAGCACTTGCTATTTTAGAAGCAGAGGCTTTATTGAAAGTAAATATATGGGTTTTATTTATTTTTTTTAATATTGGAAAATTTGCCAAAGGTTATCATTTTATGACTTGGAGCCCTAGAAACTTCCAAACCACAGGACCCTTTCATTTTAATGTTAGCTCATTTATTGGTGATATTTCCTTTTTTTTTTTCCAAGCAGAGTGTGTGGTAATTGTAGGAGTTAACATGCAAATTTTAGAAGATACCATTTATTCACATAATTGAATATGAGCTGTAGAAATTGACCTCTTTCCTCAGTGTTTTTCCACCTTGTTTTAAGAATGGTAGACATTAGGTTTGTAGTTTTTTGACAGATAAGCCGTTTAGTTAAAGGCTGTTTGAGTATGGTGGCATTTTTTTTCTTCCTATATGGTTATATCTTCTTGGGCAGATTATCTTTGAGCCTTTATTCCATAAACTAAGCAGAGAGTTTCACTGGAAACTAAGTTCCAGATTAGTTTTTATTAACTCTTTAGAAAATGAAATGATGATTTTTTTTTTGTATGAGTTACTGTTTCTGATACCACTATTTTGTTACCAATGTGTGAATGGGAGCTAGCCAACAGTCTTGCCTTACTTTTGTACTGGTGATTGATTCAATGCTGCTTATTTCTCTGAGTATATTTAAAGGGGGTTGGGTGGAGACATTCTGTCCTATATTGGTGTATGATCATTGCTATTGCCTTTTTTTAAAAATTATATATATTTTATTGATTTTTTAACAGAGAGGAAGAGAGAGGGATAGAGAGCCAGAAACATCGATGAGAAGGAAACATTGACTAGCTGCCTCTTGCACACCCCCTACTGGAGATGTGCCCGCAACCAATGTACATGGCCCTGACCAGAATCAAACCTGGGATTTTTCAGTCCACAGACCAATGCTTTATCCACTGAGCCAAACCAGTTTCGGCATTACTACTGCCTTTTTTTTAAACTGCCCCCCCCCCCATTTAATATCAATTTAGTGCAGTGAATTAGATATAATTTTGCTGCCTACAAGATGCTCATGGCCTAATTGAGATGTGGATAAGTGAGAAAGTGAGTTAATTGCTTAGATAGGCCTATCCACTGAGTTCTGTAATTGTTGTTAAGGGAGGAAGTTCAAGGTGCTCATGTCTTGGGCCAAAGGCTAGGTAAATCTGAACTTGCCAGTTACATATTTTTCTGGTAGTAGAGTCAACTCTCTCCCACAAAGCCTTTGTGTAACTGGATGGCTGATTCAGCTGGTGTTTACCCCTGCATGTTGTATTAGGAAATGTGATGAGTACAAGTAAGGTTAGCTTTTGCATTCCTCTTCTTGGCTATGCTACTCTTGCCTTTTAATTTTTCTGAGCACCTCAAAGAATGTCCTTAACATGAACTGCTACCAGCTAATATTATTCAAGTGAAGGGGAATTTTCTGGCATATTAACATTTTATCCCTTTCGTTCCTACATAAAAATATAGTGAGGAGGAACTCCAGGAATAGAAGAGAAAGGCACCTTTGTCCCTTATATTCCTCTTATATATTCCTGAAATATATTTAACTTGTAACCTTATTTCTAATCACTCATTACAGACTCATGGATCAAGTGTAAGGATATATCCTTTTGATGCTGAGATAGAGAACATATTCCTAATGGCTTATTTTCATCGTGGTGGTGGTGAATATTTTAAAATTTGAAGAAGTGAAACTAGGGGTTTTAACTTTTAAAATTTCAAGTTAAATTCATGCTAGTTAACTTATAGCGTGAATAGTAAGATAATCTGATTTTTTGATGCCAATTTTTCTGATGTTTCCAAGATGATTTATGTCACCACTTGGTGGAGCTCTTTTATAAATTAGTACATTGTAGAAAAGCAAGTAAAAGTTTTCACTAATTAGGATTTATCATTAGGGTAGTTCAAGTGAACTAAACTAAATGATAGCCTAGAGGTAGCCTCTTCAAATGTTGATTATTGATTTTTATTTAAATTTTAATGCTATATCTAATTAAAATTTAAATATTTTAAAGATTTTTCTCAAGAGTATTCCTTATTTTTCTCTCTTTATATAAATTTAGTACTTTTTAAAGTTGACTTTTCCTCCTATTTTGTAATCGAAGGTACTTTGGAAAATGTAGTTAAGATTAATGAAGAAAATTAAAGTCATTTGTAATTCTACCACCTAGATATAATTAACATTTGATATATTTTTTGCCTTCCTTTTTTAAATTTTTCACAAAATTGGAATAAAAACAAACACAGAACTTTATATTCTGGTGTTGTTATTTCCTAAGATATCATTGGTGTTTTTTCATGTTTTAATAATCTTTTAAATGTTTTAAGGATTTTATATTATACCATGATATAGTTCTATCTTAATTCATAAAGCTATTTTAGTTTTACTTTTTAAAATATGTTGTTATTGATTTTGATGGGGAGAGGAAGAGAGAGGGTTAGAGAGATAGAAACATCGATGAGTGAGGAGCATCATCGATCGAATGCCTCCTGCACTCCCCCTATTGGAAATCGAGCTCACAACCCAGGCATGCCCTGACCAGGAATCAAACTGGTAACCCCCTTGGTTCCTTAATCGATGCTCAATCACTAAATACCACTGGCCGGGCTAACTATTTTATTTAAAAATATTTAGGCTATTTCTCCTGTTTTGCTATTATGAGTAATTCTTTGAACATCTGTTATACTAAATCTTGACTCAACTCTCCTATTTTCATTTTATAAGTTTTTTTTTTAAATATAAACTAAACTCCTAAGGATGTTGATGCATATAACAAAATGTCCTTCATTGGCACTGTTTTGAAGTTTAGTATTTTCTAAATTTTGGAAAGTACTTTTTTTTCTATTGTAAAATACGTTTTCTTATCCTTTGCTCATTTCCCCTGTCTATGTTTTACTATTTCTTTTTGGTGATTCTTTTGGCTGGGTAAAAAAAATTACTTTCCCTCTACTTTAACAATTTTTAAGATGCTGTCCTGAGCCCTTTTCATAATTCTCATTTAAATTTTCAAGAAAACACACCAGTTAAAGATTTTAGATCTTAAATTGCCATCAGAAAATAAAGCCTGGATCTTGAAAGACCAATTAGGGCTGGCTGGAAAGCAGGAAGAGATGTGTGAATAATCTGTATGGAGGTGATGGGGATGTGATGGAAGTGGATGAGGTTGCTAAGGAAAAGAGAAAGGTGGTGGGCAAAAGTCCTTGGAGTTGGGAAACGCTGAAAAAGTGAGAGAAAGAAAAGAGAATGAGGACGTTGTAGTAATTTTAAAATCTAAGGAAAAAAACTTTTACTGTAAGAGTGTCAGATGCCACATAGAAGTCTTTTTGGATGAAACCAGAAAAGGTCATTCACCTTAGAAAAATAGAGATATTTTTCTGAAATAACACTTTAAAAAATGTATTTTTGATATACAAATTATATTGATTTATTAGTTTCAGGTGTTAAGATTCAAGCTTTTTATACAATGTGATCACCCTGCTAATTTTAGTAATCATCTGTCACTGAGTAAAATTATCACAATATTACTGACTATATTTCCCATCCTCTTTTCACACATTCTCCCTGTCGCCATCTTTCTGGTACACATCTCTTTGGTTTCTGTTTCTTTGTGTTTTATTGTTGTTTATCCCACATATAAGTGAATCCCTATGGTAATTTGTCTTTTTCTGCCTTACTTCACTTAGCATAATACCTTCTAGATTTATCTGTGTTGTCGAAAATGTTAAGATTTTAATTATTTTTTATTGTAGTATAATATTCTGTTTTACATATTAAAATTATCTAGGTGGCTTCCATCTTGCCTATTATAAGTAATGCTGTAATGTACATAAGGCTGCATATATTTTCAAATTAGTGTTCTTGTTTTCTTTGGCTATATAGCTAGAAGAGGAATTCTTGGGTCATATGGTATACCTTTTTAGTTTTTGAGGAATTCTGTAGAGGCTGTACTGGTTTACAGTCTCACCAACAGTGCACAATGGTTCCCTTTTCTCCATGTCCTTGTCAACACATATTACTTGTTGATTTATTGGTAATAACCATTCTGACTGAAGTGAGGTGCTATATCACTATTGTATTGGTTTACATTTCCCTGATAATTAGTGATGTGGAACATATTTTCATATGTCTTCTGGCCATCTGTGTCTTTTTTGAAGTTTTTTTTTTTAATGCTCTCTGCCCATTTTTCTATTGGATTTTTTATTTTTGTATATTTTGAAAATCAACCCCTTATTGGATACTAGAGGCCAGGTGCACAGTTTCGTGCACCACTGGGGTCCCTTGACATGGCCTGCGAGGATCAGGCTGAACCAGCTCTCCGACATCCCCTGAGGGGTCCCGGATTGCGAGAGGGTGCAGGCCAGGCCAAGGGATCCCACTGGTGCACGATCGGGGCCTGGGAGTGACTGCAGGAGGGCTCCAGGGTGTCGCCTAGTCCTGATCGGGGCCAGCTGGCTGGGGAGGGATTTTGGGGAGGGTTTCAGGGCATGTCCAGCCTGTCTCACCCAATCCTGATAGGCTGGACCCTAGCAGCAAGCTAACCTACTGGTTGGAGCATCTGCCCCCTGGTGGTCAGTGTGCATCATAGTGACTGGTCGAATGGTCAAATGAATGGTTGGACACTTAGCACAATGGTAGGACACTTTTATTATATAGGATATCATTTGCAAATGTATTCTCCCATATAGTAATTTGTCTCACTTTTGTTGAAGGTTTCCTTGGTTGTGCAAAAGGTTTTTTTAGTTTGATATAGTCCTATTTGTTTATTTTTGCTTTTGTTTCCCTTGTTCTAGGGCAGTGGTTCTCAACCTTTCTAATGTCGCGACCCTTTAATACAAATCCTCATGTTGTGGTGACCTCCAACCATGACATTATTTTTGTTGCTACTTCATAACTGTAATTTTGCTATGGTTAATGAATCGTAATGTAAATGTCTATGTTTTCTCTTTGTTTTCAGGAAAGTTACGTTAAGAATAAAAAGGAACTGTGGGGCATCTGTATTTTTATTGCAGCAGTTGACCTAGATGAGATGCCATTTACTTTTACTGAGCTGCAGAAAAACATAGAAACCAGGTAAAAAATTTCAACAGTATCACCTCTATTATTAAAGAAAATTACTTTCCTCTTAATAAACATTAGTAAATAAAACATAAAGGACTTAGGTCAATTAGTGAACTATCATTCTCTCATGGAGCCCTTAGTGAAAGTGTATTTATGCTGCACTTTCTTAAAAATGTATCAGTTTGTGTCCTGGCAAAATTTCATCATGTCTCTTACTGTCTTTAAACTTTCTTAATTGTAGCTTTTGGATAAAGCCATCTAAAATTAAGTAAAATTCGTGTTTTATTAAAATGAGATACATAGCCGAGACCGGTTTGGCTCAATGGATAGAGCGTCGGCTTGGGGACTGAAGGGTCCTGGGTTCGATTCCGGTCAAGGGCATGTACCTTGGTTGTGGGCATATCCCCAGTAGGGGGTGTGAAAGAGGCAGCTGATTGATGACTCTCTCTCATCGATGTTTCTAACTCTCTATCTCTCTCCTTTCCTCTCTGTACAAAATCAATAAAATATATTTTTAAAAAATGAGATACATTAAATTGTTTTATTTTCTTGGTAATACTTCTTCTTATTACCTCTATATAAAATATGGAAACATAGGCCTGGTATAATCATATTTAACCTATTGCAGTGATTTTCAGCGTGTACCACAAAAAATTTTAAAACATGTAATACATGACCTCCTTTGCCTTAAATTGTCAAGTAAAGTGAATGAATCATACTAATACTTAATTTTTTGTCAGATCAGCAAAAATCATATTTTTTGGTGTGCCACAGAATTATAGTAATTAGTGTATGTGTTATGAAAAAGGTTGAAAGCGCTGATCTAGTGAATTAGAATTGGTTTCCCTCTTAGAGCTTTCAGTTTAACTTTATTAAATAAAATTGCTAAATCAAAGTAGTTTTTAGGTAGCTGAAAAGTAATAAAAATATGTAAGTAAATTTTCACGTTAATTTATCCATTCAGCAAATGATTTATCGTCTTTAAAAAAGATTAGAAATAATATGGGTGTTTGGATTAACATAAACTGGATATAAATCTGGGCTCTGTTGTTTTTTAAGCTATATTAGTTGGAGCAGACTTCTGAGCCTTTAGTCTCAAGTTCCTCATGTATGAAGTGAAAATTATTAGCTGTTTCAGAGAATTTCAAGAATTAATTAACTTATGATGAATAGAGATGTAAAAACTTGATTTAATGGGCTAATTTGGGCAAGGGGTTAAGGCCCAAAATCTGTTATATAATAAAGTAGGTTTTCCAAATGCATATGTTAAATTGACAGATTAGCTTACCTATTTTTACTTATGTAGACACGTTTTGTATAATTAAAATTAAGTATGTATGAAAAGTTTTCTATATATATCACTGTAATTTTAAATTTATACTCAGTAGGTTCAGTAAATGCATGCACTCATGAGTCACATGAATAAACAAAGGCACAAGGCTGGGCCTGGCTTAGTGCATGTGGGAACATTGCCCTAACTTGTTAAAACTGCTGCAGAAAGTCACGCCATTTGACAATAGAACCAATTACCTACTGCACATGATGTGGTGTGATCAAATGCTAATCATTCCCAAATATTGCTTACAAGCCCTGACTTGGATTTAAATATGTAGACTATAGTTGTAGATATATAATACTAGAGGCCCAGTGTGCAAAAGTGCACGAGACCCAGATCTGCTGTATCTGCAGGACCCCAGACTCACTCTGAGCTAGTAGGTTGCCACTGCCTCTGCGAGTGAGCCATGAGCCCCAACCTGCCACCGCAAGCAGCTCGCGGCCCGTGGAGGGACTGAGAGGTGCTCCATGCACCTCCTGGTGACCGGTCATTTGATTGTTCTAGCTTTACGGCCACTGGCCTTTTATAGTATAGATTTATGTTGGCGGAATCACCACAGTGTTTTTTCCAATATATGGCCTATTTGCTAAAATGTTAATTTAATTATAAGCACACTTGGCTAAAAGCATTTTAAAATTAACCAGAGTGTTAATTTTTACATGTAGCATATGGACCAGAAATTTTGTTTGTTAAATCCAAAATGTGTTAATTCAAGGTCTACAAAATTGAGAGTTTACTGTAGTTCATAGTCAATACCTTAACATCTTAGGGGTCTTAATTTCTTTTTCTGTAGCCCTGCCTCCCCATTACCTGCTGTCCCCCCCCTCACCCTTTCCCCAAAAAAGAAAGAAAGAAAACTTGAACACCTATTAGATAATATAATATTATGCTAGGTTTTAACGATATAAAGGTGAGAAATAATCTCCAATCTCAAGAAACTCAATTCAGTGGGGAAGATAAAAGTAAACAGATGATTGCAATACAGTATTATATTCATAGACTATTAAATAAATATGACAGAGAAAGGCTATTACATCTTTTATTTATAAAATTAAGTAATTTTCCTGCAAAGCTTTTCCTAAACCCGTTTTCTTGAGTATTCACAGAGCAACCTGATTTATAACTTGGGCACATCATAAATATAGTAATGTATTTGGTATACTTGTTTCTTATGCAACTTTCACTGTTCTGGTAACTGTCCAGGAGTGTTATCTGGACAGTTACATCTTAAATGTGCTCTGATGAAAGACTAGTTGTTTTTTATTTTCAATATTTTTAAAAAAAATGTATATAAAAAATGAAACAACAAAATCATAGTAGACACAGGACTAAACTTTTTATTATAAGAATCAGCAGGTATAAAGTTAATGTCAAATTGCCATAACATGCTTACTTTTAATTTCTATACTTGTGTTTAATTGTGGACTGGTAACAAACATTTCACAGACTAATATCTATTCATGGATCATTGGTCTAGAATATGTAGTTATCAACAAATCTGTGTGTCTTAATTATGGCTTTTTATGCCAGCCTGCCTGTCTACCCTGCCTCTTTTTTCCTTCAAGGGAGGGCCACGGAAGGAATAGACAGTCACATAAATTAACAGAAGTCTTTGTATTCACAATTCACAGTTTTCATGGTACTCCATGAATAGGTAATGCCATATATCTCATTAAAACCGAAACTGAGTGTTTCTTGAATACATGGTATTCTAAGGTTGATTTCTTTTTTTCCTGGATATATCTACACATTTGCTCCACTCTCTTTTTTAAGTAACCATCTGGTCATCTACTCCATATCATTTCTCCCCCCCTTTATTGAATTTTCCACATAGTGTATAATGGCTGCCCTAATCCCTTCTATATCAAAGGAACTTTTTTTATTTTTAAATATTTTATTGATTTTTACAGAGAGGAAGGAAGAGGGATAGAGAGTTAGAAACGTCGATGAGAGAGAAACATCGACCAGCTGCCTCTTGCACACCCCCTACTGGGGATGTATCCGCAGCCTTTGACCAGAATCGAACCTGGGACCCTTCAGTCTGCAGGCCGACGCTCTATCCACTGAGCCAAACCGGTTTCGGCAAAGGAACTTTTAATAACCTTCTTTTTGGGCTTTGTGTCCTTCGCTGACAGCTAAAATTTATATTTTTCCAGTTCTCAAGATAACTGTCTCCAGCCCATTTTTTGGAATGAAACCTGTAACTTTAGTTGCTGAACAGCGTATGAATGGGTCTGGTGGCTCCCCTTGAGAGCGGTCCAGGAATGGGAAGTCGGTTGGAACAGGAGAGGAGAGTTCCCATGAGAGGGAGCTTTGGAGATGCAAGGTGGTTACATACAGGGAGATTGAGTCAATAAATTAAAGATAGATGGATTCTAGGCTTTCTCACTGCCAGTGAAGAGTTATAAGCATGACATGAAATAATTGAGTTTATGTTGGAATTGGATAAATAAATGTGAACTTTTAAAAATATATAGGTAGATAATATATATATATATATATGACTTTTATTATCCTTTTCTATATTCTTAATGATAAATAGATATAGGCATAGATATATAGATATAAGGGTTTAGGTTGAAGACTACTAGATTATTTTTCTCTTCAAATTCTAGGAAAATAAAAAAAGTAATTCCTTCCAAAGGATATCATAGTGATTTGATATAGAGCTAATGTTATTTTGAATTGAAATGTCTATGCTTTGAAAATGAAATAAAATAAAAATTTAAAATTGTAATTCACTTTTTTCTATTCTTTCCTTTGTAGTGTCTATAAATTTTCTTACTTATTAAAAGAAATTGATACCAGTACCAAAGTTGATAATGCTATGTCAAGACTCTTGAAGAAGTATAATGTATTGTGTGCACTCTACAGAAAATTAGAAAGGTAAAGTAAAAATTTTATTAGGATTATACCCTGGTTTTTTATATAATTTTTCATGGTTAGATTCCCTCTGGGAACTATTACATATTTAGTAAAGTTATTAGGTATCTTTTTTAAAATATGTTTTTTCTTATTTTAGGGAAAGGGAGGAGGAGAGAAAAATAGAAGCATTAATGATGAGAATCATTGATTGGCCTGCTCCTGCACGCCCCTTACTGGGGATCGAGCCCAAAACATGTGCCCTGACCAGGAATTAAACTGTGACCTCCTGGTTCATAAGTCAATGCTCAACTACTGAGCCACACCAGCCAGGCAAAGTTATTACCCCTTAAACTTGTTCCCATTGCTATAACTTTTCTTATTCTTCACTTTTTAATTTATCCAATTATATGCATTCTGAATGTTTCCTCCAAAATTAATTGTTTTTATATATTTTCATGTGTCCATTTGTTTTACCAAACTTTAAGCTTAGTTCCCATTTTAGCCTTCTCTGTGAGAAGACTTATAGTTTTGAGTGGAAGAGTGACCTAAATTTAAACTTCTTCTAATGATGTTATTTAATTTTGAAAAAGAAAACATATTGGTGATGGAAGGTATATGTAATCTATACTACCAAGCCATGATTGTATTCCCAATGGTGGTTTAGAAGACTTTTTGCTCAACTAGGAAAAAGATGAAATTCAGATAAACTTAGGTTAAGTTTTTAATAAACTAGTACTTTTCATCCAAGTCTACACTCCTAGTATTACAGTCCTTAATTTGGCATGTGCCTATTACTATGTTAATTTAGGGGCTCATTTTATTTGGGTAAAAGAATATGAAAGTTAATGTTTTAGCTAAATAAACGGTTGTAAGAGGAGAAGGGAAAAAAGATGTGTCCTTATTAAGGGAGAGAATGAGTATGGAGATAAGAGTTGAAAAGAAACATCTTCTCAAAAGGATGTTTTTATTTTTTCATTTTCTTTTTGGTTGGTATATTAGCTCAACTTCAGAGGTGTGATGGTGAATGAGAAAAGTGGAAATAAAATGGAAGATTGGCCTAGGGCTTTTAAAAAAATCCTCACCTAAGGATATTTTTTCCATTGATTTTCCAAAAGAGTGGAAGGGAGAATCAGTGGGGAGAGGAGAGAGAGGGACAGAGGAAAGAAGGGAGGGAGGGGGAGGGAGGGGGAGGGAAGGGGAGGGAGGGAGGGAGGGAGGGAGGGAGGGAGGGAGGGAGGGAGGGAGAGAGAGAGAGAGAGAGAGAGAGAGAGAGAGAGAGAGAGAGAGAGAGAGAGAGAGAGAGAAATATCTATGTGAGAGAGAGATATAATATAAATTGGTTGCCTCCTGCATGAGGGGCCAGGCGTAACATTCAACTGTGGAAAGAAAGTCCACAAGGCTGCTGGTGTCAGAGGGTTCTAGATCTAAGTCCACAGTCACTAGAGGCTGGGCCCAGAGGGGTGGCCTGGAGAACTGCCCAAGCCCCACGGTGCTAGGGAGAGAGAAACTAGCGTTTGCCCAGTTGTTTTGCCTTTTTGCTCTTTGCTTTTATTCGCTAAACTCAGCTCGTAGTACCTTTCAAATACAAACACGCACTCGTGGCTGAGGTGCAGGTGGAGGTGCAGATTTGTGGAATCTGGGGAGAGGCTGTGGAGGTGAGTAGGTCAGGGAGAAGTGACCGGGAGTCTGGCGCCTGGGACATTCCTGACTTCTTTGGACCGAAGCAGCCACGTATCTCCTGAAAAGCCAGCCCTTCCAAGCAGCCTCAAGGCAGCTAATACACCCACACCCAGACTATACCCAGAGCAGTACAAAGAACACAAAAAATCTGAATAGCTGTGAAGAGCCCTCAGGCACTGATTTGAATAGAGATGTTCAGGCTCAGAAAGCAGTACAGTACCCTCCCTACCTATAGCCCTGTCAGAAACAGTTGCTTGAGAGATAAAAATTGACAACGGGCAGATTGGTTCTGCCTGCTTGCAATCAAGACTGTGGAGATGGACACAGACAGAAAAGCAGTGGATCGCTTGCAACCTGCTGACTACCTAACAGGAAACTGAGAAGTGGTAGACGGAACAGGAGAGTGGGATATTAAACCAACCCTCATGGAGCATTAAAACTCGGCTGAAATAAATGATACTTCACATTTTTATTTTTTAATCTTTTATTTAAAATTGTTTTGCATTATTTTTTCTTCATTCTATTTTTTTATCTTATTTTTAAATTTTTTTTCTTTAAAAAGTTTTTCTTTTTATCTACTCATTCTCTTTCTACCTCCTCTATACTGAACCAATATAGCGAATATCATTTTTGCTCTCTTTTCTCTTTCCTAATTCTCTTTTTTTCTGGTGGTCACTTATATATATTGGGGTTATCGGTGTTGAGAGTACATTCGTTGTTTTTTTTTTTTTTCCCCTCCCATTGTCTTGTCAAGTTTGAAATGCTTGCACTAAGCGATCACTGGTCAGGGCACATGCCTGGATTGCAGGCTCAGTCCCCAGTAAGGTGTGTGCAGGAGGCGGCCGATAAATGTTTCTCATCATTGTTTCTGTATTTCCCTTTTCCTTCCTCTCTAAAAATAAAATAAAAATAAAAATAAAATCAATAAAACATATTTTAAAAATAAGCTTACAGTAAATAAATACATTTTGTAATAAAATGTATAATAATACATGTGATGCTCTATTTTAGAGGATTATATCTAAGAAGTAGAAATTATACAATGAGCAAAATATTGTATATGTTGAAGGTGATTATGAGCTGTTTTTGATCAGGAAAAACTTACAGAAGGCAACATCTGAATAAGGTTTAAAGGATAAACGAAACTCACCAAACACAATGTGTAGGAACTGGGACTGAGCATCCTAAGCAGATTAGTATGTATATAAAGTGAAAGCAGTACCACAACATATTGTAATATTTCCAGAGGCTGAAAGGCAGGAAGGGATCAGATTGACAATGGATTAGACTTTCTCCTGCAGATGATGGGGAGTCATTGAGTTTAAGCAAGGGAGTAATATAGTCATATTTGGCCTTATGAGGTTCACTGAGAATTAATGTAGTCATTTTTGGCTTTACAGGGTCACTCAGGTCTTTCTAAAAGGGATTACAATTTTTATTTACTGGTTACATGAGATAATCCAGTGTTTATGGCCTTGAAGTGGACTGGCAGGGTTTTAAAATTTTATTTGTACTGTTTTCTAAAGAGCAGTTGTGAAGTTTAACTGTGATATCAAAACCTGTTTATTAGAGGTTATACTTTATGTACATACTAGAGGCCTGGTGCCCGAAAATCCCGTACATGGGTAGGGTCCCCAGGCCTGGCCGATGATGAGAGCTGATCTGGCCTTCCTGCTGCTGGCTGCCACCGGGGCTTTCCTTTGTTCCATGTCACCCCCTGGTGGTTAGCACACGTCATAGTGAGCAATCAAGCTCCCTGTCTCTTGGTCAAACTCCCGAGGGGACAATTTGCATATTAGGCTTTTATATATATATTTGGCAACAGGCTGTAGTGATTATAACTTTAGTAAAGCTAAACAGATCCAAGTATGAATATTAATTTTTTCTTTTACAACTGTGTGGGCTAGGAAAAATACTTAACTTTTCTAAACCTCAATTTCAATCTGTAAAATATATCTAATAATGCTTTCTTTTTAGGGTAATATAGAATTAACTAAGATAGTGTTACTGGTTATCTTGTCTCCTAGAACATACTAAGGGCTTTATAAATAGTAGTTTTTAAAGCTATTTTTAGCTATATTAGTGCTGTGACATAGAAATACAGTGCAAGGGCCCTAATCAGTTTGGCTCAGTGGATAGAGTATCATTTTGCAGACCGAATGGTCCCTGGTTTGATTCTGGTTAAGGGTTGTGGGCTTGATCCCCAGTTGGGGGCATGCAGGAGGCAGCTGATCAGTGATTCTCTCTCACATCATTGATGTTTCTATCTCTCTCCCCCTCTCCCTTCCTCTCTGAAATCAATAAAAATCTATTAAAAATAATAAAAAATATAAAAATGTACTTAAAAAAAGAAATACAGTGCTAGGCATGCATTTTATTTTTATTTTTTTTATTTTTTTTTATTTTATTTGTTTTTTTATCAATCTTTATTGTTCATATTATTACAAAGGTTCCTCATTTCTTCCCCCCTCCACCAGGTTCCCACCCCATCCTCCGACCCCTCCCCATCCCCCATTGTCCTCATCCATAGGTGCACAGTTTATGTTCAGTCTCTTCTTCCCTCCCTTTCCCCAGTAGTAAATCCCTTTTCAGATAGTAAATCAGTTACTTAGCATTTTCTCATATCAATAATACCTCCACATGCCCAATGATACACTTCACACAAAAGACATTTCCCAATAGGTCCACCAGCCTCATCCAGGCCCCACCCAAGGCACTCACAGATCAACACCCCAGTCCTAAACTAACTCAACACATCCAGATCTAAGTCTTCATCACTTGATTCAGCAGACCCTCAAGTTCCCACGAAAGTTTCCAGCCATGTCTGAGAAGCAGCCGTGGGGCAGGGGCAGGCAAGGAGCGAGCTGTTCTGGGCCTGGCTGCTCAGGGCCTGGCCTCTGTTGCTCTGGTTCATTCCACAACCAGCTGGTCCGGGTCTGGTCACTGCCGCTCCCGACCTAGTTGCTCTGGACTTGGCTGCTGCTGCTCCGGGCCTGGCTGCTCCCAGCCTGGCAGCCGCTGCTCCGGGCCTGGCCGCACCCGACCCGCCTGTTCCCCCGGGCCTGGCCGCTCCCAGCCTGGCAGCCGCTGCTCCGGGCCTGGCCGCACCCGACCCGCCTGCTCCCCCGGGCCTGGCCGCTCCCAGCCTGGCAGCCGCTGCTCCGGGCCTGGCCGCACCAGCCCCGGCTGCTCCCCCGGGCCTGGCCGCTCCCAGCCTGGCAGCTGCTGCTCCGGGCCTGGCCGCACCCGACCCGCCTGCTCCCCCGGGCCTGGCCGCTCCCATAGGCATGCATTTTAAATGTTCTAATAGCTACATGACTAAAGTAAAAGGGAACAAGTGCAATTAATTTTAACATTTATTTAACCTACATATCTTAAGATGTCTCATTTCAGCATGTATCATTCACACAAAAAATGTACACAAAAGTCATAGCATTATTTGTAATAGCTGAAAAGTGAAAACAACCCAAATGTCTTATCAACTAATGAATGAATAAACAAATATGATATATCCATATGATGGAATATTGTTGATTGATAAAAAGGAATAAAATACTGTTACATGCTATAACATAAATGAACTTCAAAAACATTAAGCTGAGTGAAAAAAGCTAGACACAGAAGACCATATATTCCATCAGATGAAATGTCTAAATAAACATATCCATAGAGACAGAAAGTAGATTAGTGATTGCCAGGGTGTGGGAAGTGAAGGGAGTGGGGAGTAAGGGCTGTTACATATTGAGTTTCTTTATGAGGTGATAGGAATATTTTGTAATTAAATAATGGTGATGATTGTCTAAAAAAGTGAATATAATAAAAATTATTGAATTTATAGACTAAAATAGTTAATTTTATGTTATGTGAATTACATTTCATTAAGAAAATACAAAGCCAATATAAAAGTTATTAAAGAGATATTTTACATTTTTTTTCTCTAAGTATTTTTTAATACGTTAGTGTATAATTTACACTTACAGCACAACTTCATTTGGACTAGTCACATTTCAGGTGTGCATTATTCATAGGTGCTTGTGACTACCATATTTGACAGCACAGATATATACAGAATGTAATTATCTTCACTACTAATTACATTCTGGGAAGTGAAGGGAGTGGGGAGTGAAGGGAGTGGGGAGTAAGGACTGTTACGTATTGAGTTTCTTTATGGGGTGATAGAAATAATCTGGAATTAGATAGGCGGGGCAAGGTCCCTCAGCCCGACTTGCACCCTCTTGCTACTGGAACCCCTCAGGGGATGTCCAACTACTGGTGTAGGCCTGATCCCTATGGATCCCTAAATTGGCATTGGACGTCCTTCTAGCAATTTGGGACCACTGGCTCCTAACTGCTCACCTACCTTCCTTCCTGATCGCCCCTAACCACTTGCCTGTCTGCCTCAATGCCCCTAACCACCTCTGCCTGCCTGCCTGCCTGCCTGATCACCCCTAACTGCCTCTACTTTGGTTCCTGCCACTGCAGCTTCATCTAGAAGTACATCTGGAATGACGCCCAGAAGGTCATTCGGCTGTCTAATCTAATTAGCATATTATGTTTTTATTATTATAGATAATTATCTTTACCAGTTCTTTTTATTTTTTCATGTTGATGTGAATTACTATCTTGGGTCACTAGTTTTTGCTTGAAGAACTTCTTAAGTATTTTTTTGAAGGTGAATCTATTCTATACATTTCCTGATGTTGTTTGGGAATGCCTTTCTTTCAATTTCCCTTTTGAGATGTAATTTTGGCAGATATATGATTCCTGTTTGACTATTTTTTTCTTCAGCACTTTGAATATGTAATCCCACTGCCTTCTGATGGTCATTGTCTCTAATGAGAAGATAGCTGTTAATGTTGGAACATTTTTCTTTGGCTGTTTTCAAGATTTTCTCTTGTCTTCATCGTTTTTACTTTGATACATCTGGGTGTAGATTGGATTTGGGAAAATTTTAGCCATTACTTCTTTAAATATTATTTCAGTTTCCTCTCTCTCCTCCCTTTCTAGTACCTCCATTGCTATATATTGTTATATTTTTTGGTGTCCCACATTTCTATGAGCCTCTTCATTTTGTCTTTTTCTCTTTGTTCTTCAAACTACTTAATCTCTTTAACTTTGTCTTCAAGTTTAGCGATTCTTCTGCCAACTTGGATCTATTATTTAATTCTTCTTGTGAATCTCTCATTTAGGTTATTGTACCTTTCAACTCAAATTTACATTTGGTTATTTTTAAATAACTATGTCTCTTTATTGGTATTCTCTGTAGGATGGGACATAGTCAGCATATATTTCCCCTTTAAGCCTGGTTTCCTTTAGTTCTTCAAGCATATTTATAAAAGCAGCTTTGAAGTCTTTGTTAAGTCTGACACCTGGGTTTTTTAAATGTAGTTTATGTTGCCTGCTTTTTTCCTTATGTAGAGTTCACACTTTCATACTTATTTTTGCAAACTGGCATTTTTTATAACATTTTGGCAACTCTGGATAGATTCTTCTCAATCCTGGGGCTTGCTATTGTTATTCTTTTTCTTGTTTATTTGTCCAGTGACTTAGCTGTAATAGTTCAGTGAAGCCTATTTATCCCAGAGTATATAGCTTCTGGTATTGCTCCTCCATGTAGCCATGGGCATGTGTACAGTCACTCTGAGGTGATAGTGGTTTTAGTGGGGTTCTCTTTGATGATCTTTTCCTCTGATCTCTCTTGTTAATCTAACTGCCTTGGTTGCTATTGCACCTAGCTTTTACTTTCCATGGATTGCTAACTGATTGCTTTATTTTTTGACAGTGTCCTGAGTATTGGTGGAAGTGGGATTCTTGGGGAAATGGGATTAGTGGGATTGTAGGAATAAGTATTTCTGGAGGCCCTCATGAGTGGATGAGATATAGGAGAAAGCTTTATTTTCATGGAATTACATTCCTGGATTTCTAAAGTTCCCTTTTCCTTATCTCAGTAAGAGAAGAAATTAGCTGTGGTTTCGGTAAAGCTAGAAGCAAAGCCGATGTGCAGAGTTTTGTTTCCATGTTGGAGGCAGGTCCAATACAGCATTAGGCAAATTGCAGTCCCTTAGTCCATTGTGTGTGTGAGTCCACATGGCTGTGGGCCATATGGGAGAGCGCAGGAGAGCGCTCCCTAAGTAACAAGAGTCCTAAAGGTCCTGAAAGCACAAGAGGTTGAATTCCTTTGTTTAGGGGATTCAATATTTCAAATTATTTGGAGCTTGCAGTGGCCACACACATTCCAGCCAATGACCTTTATTCCAAGGAGTGACTAACAAGCAAATATTGTGGGAAGATTGCTTATAATGTCTGGCCTTTCCTTTGCTCCTTTCCTGTTATTAATAATTAAGTTAATTACAATGGTATTAGACCGATCCATTTAAATTTGGTTCTCTTTGCAAGAGTAATCTTTGAGTTCAGTCTTGAGGTTTGTTCTAACCTCAGGAGAGCTTTACTTAGCTTTCCCCTTGGTTCTCTCTTAGATGACCTAGGATTTAGGTTTTGCTCTCACATAGCTACCAGCTTTCTCTTACTTGCTTACCAACAAAATTTCCATTGTTTTCAGCAGGGCTTTTATCTTTGATTGTTTCCACACTCTGTTCCATGACTTATGTCTCTTTCTTTGATATTAATTGAAGTTAATTTCCTTGGAGAGAGCTTCAGATCTCTCTGTTCTTAAGGCCTATCTCTCCCTGGACAATACTATTGTGCCACTACTCAGGAAATCAGAGTGGGAATAGTGTCTACTTTTTTGAGTGACAACTCTGCTTTAAGAGTGTGGTGTTAAGAAGGGGCCATAATCCCTTGTCTTCTCAGATTGCCTTTATTGGTTAGAACCTCTGTCTTATCAGCTAACTGGAGTAAGGGAAGTCAGAGCCCCAGTAATCTTGATCTGCTCTTCCTGGATCTTTTGTCCTATGACTGGGGAGGAAGGGAGCCCCAGACCTCTCAGTTTGTCTTGCATGGGGTATGAAAAATGCTGGTATCTTGCGATTCCCAGAGAGATGGTCCTCGGCTGGGAGCTCAGGAGAGAGGGAGCCTGTGTCTTGGCTGCACCTGCCCACGTTACAGCTTTGTGATGCTGGGATAGAAAGGAGGAAGAAGTAAGTTTTTGTTTAAGTTCTACAGACTATCATTGTTCTTATCAAGATTTAGTCAAATTTCTTGAAGAAATGTTTCTATTTTTGCTTCGTATAATCTTAGGAAAATTTCCAGAGACTTTAAATGTTTTTGAATAAATAATTTTCACCAGTTATAGTTATTACACTGGAAACAGTTCTATGAAGATCCTTATTTTGCCATTCTGGAAGTATGTCCTAAAAAAGTAGGTTATTGTACTTTTCAATTGTGTTATTTTAGTGAAACTACTCATTAAATAGGTTTTTATGATCTGGTCTGGGATTTTAACAAGATCAAGATTCAATTACAAATATACAGATGAGTTACAGATGCACATATGAAGTCCAATCCTTTTGTAATTAGATAATACCATGATGTGTGTGAAGTGCCATAGTTGGAAAAATATACCTTAACTTTGTTTTATAATGCTATGATTTTTTGTTTTTAAAACATATACTTCTTAAATAAGATCAATAAAGTCTAATAAAATTTATTTCTAAATTATGAAAAATATTACAAATGTAACTTTATAAAAAGCCATAATGTTAATATAATTATTTTTTCCTTTTAGGACATGTGAACTTATATATTTGATGCAACCAAACAATTTGTAAGTAGTTGAGTGCATGTTATTTTTCACTTTTTTTAAAGCAAGATCTTTCTGGAGTGATCCCAAATATGTTGATAATGTCAGTGTAGTTTAATTGTTTATAGCATGCTTTTTCATAAAGTAAGGTTATAGTTCTAAGGCCACCAGCTTATTTATTTTCTCATAAAGAAAAATCATTTGAAATACTTATCTTTTACTAACACGGGAACTAATAAAGTGGAAGTTGTTTCAGTGTAATGTATTATCAACTCTGGGAAAACTGCACGTTCATTGACTCAATCTTTATTGAGGTTCTATTACAGGCATATCATTTTTTAAAATCCTCACTCTAAGATATATTTTTATTGATTTGAAAGAGAGAGAGAGAGAGAGAGAGAGAGAGAGAGATATGTTAAAAAGAAACATCAGTTGGTTACCTCCCATACATGTCCTGACAAGGGTGTCGAACCCACAGTCTAGATATGTACTATGACTTAGAATTGAACCTGCACCTTTTGGTGTACTGGATCATGCCCCAACCAACTGGGCTATCTGGCCAGGGTCTGGCACATAATTTTTGTGTAAAAAATAAGTATGAACACCTATATTAAAATTTCCAAATTATTTTTTAACCCATAACACACGTTCCAACAGTATACCCATGTAAGATCTCTATAGAGTTTTTCTTTGGAAAAAGAATGAGTAGTATATGAGATTTTCTGCCCCCTTCAAGTAGTAGTATTGAAGATAATTAATATAAAGGAAAGTTATATATTTATTAACTCTATTCATTATTAATTTCACTTGTTAATTCCAACAAGTGAATGATTCGGTGAATTAGAATAACCCAGACCTCTATTTTTCTGCTTATTATGTTGATTTTCATTAGATAACAGAGCAGAAAACTATTAAATAACTGGAAACTAAATACAGTATAGTATACTATTTCCTGTGCATAATTAAATTTTTTAAATAAAATGTTTTACTACTATGGGCACAATATTACCTTGGTATAAGCACTAACTGAGACAAAGTAGTAAGTACATGTGTAAATTGTGCAGTTAAAATAGACTGTATTCTATTATGTAATCAAGTCTGTATTTAAAAAAGTGTGTGTAGGAGGGAATCAGGTATAATTAGAAAGCTATAGTAAAATTTTTTTCTTCTTTCTGATTGCTTACTAGAATATCTACTGAAATAAATTCTGTGTTGGTGCTAAAAGTTTCTTGGATCACATTTTTACTAGCTAAAGGTAAAGTCATTATTTTTGTTATATGATAATGTTTCAGATGTAATAATTGATTAAATTTTGTACTAAGCTCAAAGTTTTATTCAATTTAATGTTGCCTCCCCCTTCTCCCTATTAACCACAATTCTTTATGTGCCTTGTTAACTATTAGCAAGTCCTTGTAATTCTAATATTGAAGCAACATTGGAAATATCTCATTTCATTTCTACTATCCACTCCTCTTTTCTTTCTAATTTTTAAAGAATAATCTTATTAATTTTATAAAAATGATGTGTACTTACTAAAAACAATTCAAATACACCAAAATGCAAAGAAAAACAGAAAATTTACCCCAAACCCATCCAAAAATAATAATCACTATTAAAATTATGGGGTTTCCCAAAGCAATGTAATACCCATCAAAATCCCAATGACATTTTTAAACAAATAGAACAAAATATCAGATTTGTATGGAATGACAGAAGACACCGAATAACCACAGCAATAATGAGAAAAAAAAAATAACAAACCTGGAGGTATCAGACTACCTGACTTCAAATACTACTGAGCACTACTGGTATGGGCCAAAAAACTTATACTCAGACCAATGGAACAGAATTGAGAGCCCAGAAATAAAACCACATGTATATGGGCAAATAATTTTTGACAAAGTAGCCAAAAGCATTACTGTAGAGCAGTGTTTCCCAAACTTTTGAAATATGTGTACCCCTTCTATAATTTTCGGAAGGCTGAGTACCCCTCGTACTCATGAGAACGTAGAATTAGGCGCAGCTAAGCACTGTGCAGTGCATATCCCCACCAAACTCCGGTCGGTGCAACGTGTACCCCCTCCCCCCAAACTCTTCCCGTACCCCTGAGGGTACTCGTGCCACACTTTGGGAAACACTGCTGTAGAGGAAAGAAAGCCTCTTTAATAAATAGTGCTGGGAAAACTGGAAAGCCATATGCAAAAGAATGAAACTAGACTACAGTGTGTCACCAAATGCAAAAACTAAAATGGATCAAAGACCTAAGTATAAGATATGAAACAATAAATTACATAGAAGAAAAATAGGTACTAAACTTAGGACCTTGGTTTTAAAGAACATTTTATGGATTTGTCCTTAAAGGCAAGAGAATTAAAGGCAAAAATAAATGAATGGGCCGAAACCGGTTTGGCTCAGTGGATAGAGCATCAACCTGCGGACTGAAAGGTCCCAGGTTCGATTCTGGTCAAGGGCATGTATGTTGGTTGTGAGTGCAAACCCAGTAGGGGGTGTGTATGAGGCAGCTGATCGATGATTCTCTCTCATCAATGTTTCTATCTCTCTCTGTAAAAAATCAGTAAAATATATTTAAAAAATAAATTAATGGGACTATATCAAACTAGAAAGCTTCTGCACAACAAAAGAAACCACCAACAAAACAAAAATGCAACCAATCAAGTGGGAGAAGATATTATCAAACAGTAGCTCTAGCAAGAGACTAATATATGGTGGCCAAGAAATGGAAAAAATTCAACTGTCCTTCTAAAGGTAGTTGGATAAAGAAGATGTAAATATATATAATGGAATACTAATCAGCCATAGAAAAGATAAAATACTGCCATTTGTGACCACTTGGATGAACCTTGAGAATGTTATTGCTAAATGAAATAAGTCAGCTAAAGCTAAGACCATATGATTTCATTCACATAAAACTGAAAGCCATAGACATAGATAACAGTATGGTGACTGCCAGAGGGAAGTAGGTAGAGGAATAGTAATGGTTAAAGTGGGTCAAATATATGGTGAAAAAGATATGACTTTGAGTGGTGGACACATACTGCAATGTACAGAACATATATCATGGAAATGCACACTCAAAATCTTTATGGTCTTTTTTTGAAATTCTTACTGAGGATATGTTTATTGATTTTTTTAAAAAATATTTTTTATTATTGATAGTATTACACATCACCCATTTCTCCTCTTTACCCCCCTGTTTATTGATTTTAGAGAGAAACATCCATGTGAGAGAGAAACATTTATTGGTTGCTTCCCGTACATGCTATGAATCTTCTGGTTCAAAGGTCGATGCTCAACCACGGAGTCATGCCTGCCAGGCAGTGTTTTCCTTCCTTCCTTCCTTCCTTCCTTCCTTCCTTCCTTCCTTCCTTCCTTCCTTCCTTCCTTCCTTCCTTCCTTCCTTATTTCTTTCCCTTTCTCCCTTTCTCCCTTTCTCCCTTTCTCTCTCTCTCTTTCTTTCTTTCTTTCTTTCTTTCTTTCTTTCTTTCTTTCTTTCTTTCTTTCTTTCTTTCTTTCTTTCTTTCTTTCTTTCTTTCTTTCTTTCTTTCTTTCTTTCTTTCTTTCTTTCTTTCTTTCTTTCTTTCTTTCTTTCTTTCTTTCTTTCTTTCTTTCTCTTTCTCTCTTTCTTTCTCCCTTTCTTCCTTCCTCCCTCCCTCCTTCCCTCCCTCCCTCCCTCCCTCCCTCCCTCCCTCCCTCCCTCTCTCTCTCTCTCTTTCTCTCTCTCTCTCTCTCTCTCTCTCTCTCTCTCTCTCTCTCTCTCTCTCTCTCTCTCTTTCTTTCTTTCTTTCTTTCTTTCTTTCTTTCTTTCTTTCTTTCTTTCTTTCTTTCTTTCTTTCTTTCATCTTTATTGTTTAAAGTATTACAGGAGTTCCCCTCTCTCCCCCATTGATGTCCCCTCTTTCCCACTTTATCACCCTAAGCCTTCACCCCATTATTGTCTATGTCCATGGGTTATGCATATATGCATATACTAATAAGTTCTTCAGTTGATTTCTTCCCATTTTTACCCCCCCCCCCATTCTGAGGATCCTCAGCTGGTTTTTTTTTATTATGTATTGACTATTTTTATCTCAAGCCTTCTGTTTTGAGCCAAACTATGTTTGTAATGGTGTTATTGGGTTCTCAGGTTTTTCTTAGGTTGTCTAGCTCCTTGTTTTTATAAAATATGTTTTAAGTTAGTTTAAGGACTCAGGACATTTTCTTCTGATAGATTACCTTTCAGATTGAGTTTTCTATCTGATTTCCCTCCCTTCTCCATTTTGATTATATTTATTCTTTTCTGTAATCTGTAATATGTTTGCATAATCTTTGTGCTTTTCCTTCCATGTAACTAGAACTTTATGTGGGCAACCCTGACCTGATGTTCTGTTTTCTTTGATGTGGTGTGAATAAATTTCCCTTTACTTATTTTGAATTTTATCTCTGATTTGTGTTCCTCCAAAAGGCTGTGAGAGCAGAGGGAGGGAAAATGGAGAGTTCATCTGGAATGCTATGTGTCTTTTTAAAAAATATTTTTGTAGTGACTTCAGAGAGGAAGGGAGAAGGAGAGAGAGAGATTGAAACATCAATGATGAGAGAGAATCATTGATTGGCTGTCTCCTGCCTGCCTCCGACTGGGGATTGAGCCTACACCCTGGGAATGTGCCCTTGATCAGAATCGAATCTGGGACCCCTCAGTCTGCAGGCCGATGCTCTATCCATTGAGCCAAACTGGATAGGACTGCTATCTGTTTTTGATGTTCTGAGCTTTTTGTTAGAATAAACAATAAAACAACACTTCTAGTGGCAATTATATCCTATTTTCATAATAGGATTGTAGTGGGGATTCACATGGTTTTCCCATCTGGAATCTTTGTCAGAAAGTTAGCTATAATTGTTTACTTTCTTCCATTTTATCTTTTTCTCATCAACAATTTTCACTTTCTCCAAGTAAGAATAGGAAAAAGATGATACTTTCGGTGTCAGTATCTCAAATTTGCTATTGGTGCTGTATCTTAACCAGTATATTTGTTTCTTTTCTTTTATTAGATACTAGAAGCCCACTGCATGAAATGCACTGGGGGGGGGGGTGTTTCCTCAGCCCGGCCTGCGCTTTTTAGCAGTCCAAGACCCCTGAGGGGTCCTTAGTGCTGCCATGGAGATGGGAGAGGGTCCCGTTATCGCTGATTTGCTCACCAGCCATGAGCTGGGCTTCTGGCTGAGTTGTGCTCCCCCAGTGGGAGTGCACTGACCACCAGGAGGCAGCTCCTATGTTTTCTGTTGAGTGTCTGCCCCCTGGTGGTCAATTCACATCATAGTGACCAGTCCTTCCACTGTTCGGTCGATTTGCATATTAGCCTTTTATTATATAGAATTGGAGGAGAGAAATTCTTTTTATTTGACTTCACTCTAATACTTTTAACTATAATAGAATTTCTTCATATTCTTTACCTCTGTGGTATTTTAAAATATTTCTTAACTATATTATTATAAACATATTTTTGTACCATACCTATGGATCTAGCAAAATCTACCTAATGCAGGCTTACTTATTTCTCATAGTTTACCATCAGTATTTGTTGAGATTGTTCTTTAAAAATATATTTTTATTGATTTCAGAGAGGAAGAGAGAGGGATAAAAAACATCAATGATGAGAGAGAATTATTGATTGACTGCCTCCTGTATGCCCCCTATTGGGGATCAACCCACAACCTGGGAACTGAATTATGACCTCCTGATTCTTAGATCAATGCTCAAACCAGTGATCCACATCAGCCGGGCTTTGTTGGGGATATTATTGGTTTATGAGACTCATATCAAGAAGATAGAAAGTGAGTCAAACTTCTCTTTCTCTCTCTTTTTAATCTTTATCATTCTAATTATTACTGATGTTCCTCATTTTCCTCCCATAGCTCCTCTCCATCTGGTTCCCACCCCACCCCAGGCCCTTGTCCCCACACTGTCCTCGTCCATAAGTGTAAGCTCTTTGTCCAATCTCTTTGTGCACCCCTACACCACCTTTTCCCTGAGAAATGCCAGTCCACTCTCTTTCCATGACCCTTATTCTATTACATTCACCAGTTTGTTCTGCTCATCAGATTTTTTATTCATTTGATTTTTAGATTCACTTGTCGAAAGATAAGTATTTGTTGTCACTTTGATGTTCATAATTTTTTATCTTTACCTTTTTCTTCTTCTTTCTCTTCTTAAAGAATACCCTTCAGCATCTATATGTATAATAGAGAAATATGCTAATTAACTGGGACGCTGTAACAGACAGGAGGAAGTTGCGCATGCAGAGTTGGGGGCAGGGTGGCAGCAGCCTCCATGCCCCTGCACTGGGGGAGGGCCTTGTCATCAGTTGCTGAGGCTGCTTCAAGGGCCAGAGAGGGAGGCAGGGTCAGACCGCAAAGGTCGTGACTGCTGCGGGGCCTAGAGAGCCAGGCAGGGCTGGACTGGTGACTCCAGGATGGCCGTGCAGCTTGACAGCAGGGCCTGCTTGGCTGTAGCCACTGCAACCTGTGAGCAGGTAAGTGGGCCCCCAGGCAGCACCCAGCAGGGCCTGGTTGGCGGTTGTTGCTGCGACCTGGGATCAGGCAAGTGTTGCCCATAGGCAGCACCCCCTAGGGCCTGCTTGCCCATTGCCGTGGGTGTGGAGCAGGCAGACCTTGCAGAGAGCAGAGAACCACGAGGAGCAGGCCTACGCCATCAGTAGGACATCCCCTGAGGGCTCCCGGATTGGAGAGGGTGCAGGTTGGGCGGAGGGACACCTCCCCATGCACTAATTTCATGCACTGGGCCTCTAGTTTCATGTAATGGTTTGGTGTTGATGACGTTCTTTAGCTCTTCTTGTCTGTGAAGCCCTTTATCTGACCTTCAATTCTAAATGATAGCTTTACTGGGTAGAGTAATATTGGTTGTAGGTTCTTGTTATTCATCACTTTGAATATTTCTTGCCACTCCTGTCTGGCCTGCATAGTTTCTGTTGAAAAATCAGCTCATAGTCGTATGGGTGCTCCCTTGAATGTCACTGTTTTTCTCTTGCTGCTTTTTAGATTCTCTCTTTGGCTTTTGCTCTTGGCATTTTAATTATGATGTGCCTTGGTGTGATCCTCTTTGGATTTCTCTTGTTAGGGGTTCTCTGTGCTTCCTGGACTTATAAGTCTATTTCTTTCATCAGCCAGGGGAAGTTTTCTATCATTATTTCTTCAAATACGTTTTCAGTATTTTGCTCTCTCTCTTCTACTGGCATCCCCATAATTTGGATGTTGGTATGCTTGAAGTTGTCCCTGAGGCTCCTTCTTCATAGCTTCATACTTTTAGATTCTTTTTTATTTTTGCTCTTCTGGTTGGTGTTTTTTGCTTCTTTGTATTTCAAATTTTTGACTTGATTCTTGGAATTCTCTAATCTATTGTTGAATCTCTTTATATTATTCTTTATTTCAGTCAGTGTATGCTTAATTTCTGAATGTTTTTTTCATATTTTTGGCATTCTCACTAAGATCCTTGAAGGTCTCACTAAGTTTCTTGGAGGTTTCTAGAGCATTCTTGAGTAACCCTATAACTGTGATTTTGAACTCTAAATCCAGTATTTTGCTTTCATTCATTTCTTTCATTTGTGACATGTTTCTTTGTCTCTGCATTTTGGCTGCTTCCCTGTGTTTGTTTTTATGTATTGGGTAGAGGTGCTAAGTCTCCTTGAATGGCCTTGTGTGGTAGGTGTCCTATAGGACTAAGTGGCTCAGCTTCCCCAGTCACCTGAGGTGGACACTCTTGGTGCACCCCTTTGTGGGCTGTGTGCACAGTTTTGTTGTAGTTAAGCCTTGATTGCTGTTGGTACCACTGGGAGGAATTGATTGCCAGGCCAATTGGCTGTGAGGACCAACTGTGTCTACAGTGAAAGAGCTGCTGTGCTGAAGATACCCTTATGGGGCAAGACTTGCTTCAGTGGCGCTTTGGTGCTCACTAAGTCTGCCCCTTGAGTGTGTCACTTATGTAATGTGAAGAGTTGTAATCTGGTATGGTCTCACACTGACCACTGGGTACACTGACTCTTGGGTCTCCAAGGAGATGCAAAGTCAGTTACTGCCTGGAGTTCCCCAGCAAGAGCTACCAAGAGATCTGCAGATTCCTCTTCTTTGTATTGGGTCCAGCTATGTAGCAAGGCAGGCTGCTGCTGCCAAATTGATTGCTTTGGGGCTCCCTGATCCAGCTGCTGCTTGTTTGACATGTTTTAGGCTGAGAAAGGACAGGCCATCCATGTGCAAAAGTCCCTGCACACAACTTGGGTTGGGTTGTAAATTGGGTGGGGCAGGGTCTCGGAATCACCAGAGTGGAGCAAAGAGCAATGGCTGCCATTCAGCCCTGTACTAGAGTGGTTCCAGCAGAAGAACAATGACCATTGCGTGCACCTCCGTCTAGAAGAAAGCTGCCCACGTACCACACAGTCCAGTTTCTCACTCTATGTGTCTGGATCCCTCCGAGTCTCGCCTGAAACTGGAGTTCAGAGCAAGTGGGAATTTGTATTTTCCTCCCGATTTATAAAAAAGCAGCGCACCTGGGTGCTGGCCCATTCCATGCCTCCACACCGCCCACCAGTCTCAATGCGCTTTCTTTACCTCTTTAGTTGTAGGACTTCCACTCAGCCAGCTTTCCCACGATTCTGGATGATAGTTGTTCTTTCTTTTATTTGTAATTTTGATGTGTTTGCGAGAGGCAGCAAGTACAGGTGTTTACCTATGCACCATCTTGGTTCCTCTTCAAACTACTCTTAAAACAATGTACAACAAAGAGCCATAATCAAATGTTATAGCTGTTGTTGATCATGATTTGTGTATTTTATATTGCTGTACAATTTTTTTCTCAGGTATTTATTATATGCATTTATTTCTTCACAGTTCTTTATTTGTATAGTTATTGCATTAACTTTCAGGATTTTGTGCTAAATAATTTATAGATGACTTTACAATTATACACCAATTTTGTTTTTCTTTTTTAAAAAAAAATATTTTATTGATTTTTACAGAGAGGAAGAGAGAGGGATAAAGAGTTAGAAACATCGATGAGAGAGAATCATAGATCAGCTGCCTCTTGCACATGCCCTACTGGGGATGTGCCCACAACCAAGGTACATGCCCTTGACTAGAATTGAACCCGGGACCTTTTAGTCCGCAGGCCAACTCTCTATCCACTGAGCCAAACCGGTTTTGACCAATATTGTTTTTCTTAATGGTTTTTGTTATTATAATATTTTGGGTGGGGTTTAAAAGTTAAAATATAGGGGGATTCATAAGTAGAAGTAAAGATTAGCGTATATCATACTTCAAAATTATTTTCAGAATACATTCTTTAGCTCTTACCAAGACTGGAAGTAAGTTTAAAAAAGTAATTTAGACATAAGGACTGAATAATAATGATATCTAAACTTAAAATTCTCATTATAAATTTTTACTTTATAATTTTATAATTTTGTATTTTTATATATAACAAATCTGACTGAGTTTTTATAAAAAAATAATCTTTAACATGCCTTTAGTGACTATTGAATAAACGAGTAAGTGGATACATTCATACTGAAATATCCCCTGACTTAAGCGTCTTAATCTTGCCCTAGCCAGTGTTGCTCAGTTGGTTAGAGTGTAGTCCTATGCACTAGAGTTTGATTCCTGGTCAGGGCACATACCTAGGTTGTGGGTTTGATTCCTCTTCTGAGCTGGAGGCAACTGATCAATGTATCTCTCTCACAACAATGTTTCTCTCTCTCCCTAAAATCAATAATAAAATTAAAAAATATCAATCTCTAACTTTATTTTAAAATGTGAATCTCTTTTATATTCAGGGGAAATATTACAAATGGAAGATGACCTGGTGATCTCATTTCAGTTAATGCTATGTGTCCTTGATTATTTTATCAAACTCTCACCTCCTGCATTGCTCAAAGAACCATATAGTAAGTATTTTAAATATTTTGTGCTCTTCCTACTTCATTATTCAGTAATTGTTTATTGATGTCTTATACATCCAAAAAGTGGTTTTATATCCTAGGCTAAGATAATAAATAAATCAGACATGGACTGTGTCCTCAAGTAGTGTAAGATACAGCGGGAGGGATAAGATAAGTAAGCAAGCAATTAGAGTATATGGTAGAAAGTGGTCTGGTCAAAATACAACAAATACTATGGAAGTTCAGCAGATGAGAAAGTTTTCCCAGCTGGGGAAGAGAAAGGAGGCCATATAAAGGAGGTGGCATTTGAACAGAATGAAAAAAATAGGATTTGAGTGTTGTGGTAAGTTGCAGGGAGGGCATTCCTAATAAAGAGCAAATCAAGGGGCAAGACATAGATATGATTGAAACTGCATGAGAAAGAGTTGTCCATTCTACAGGAACAGATTAAATTTTTATTATTGAGTGCTGTAATGATTATGCGACTTTTTTGTTGTTGTTATATGAAGTGTATTGATCTATTTCAGTGGGTGATGAGATGGGAAATGTATTTAATTAAAAGTAACGGTTGTTAATTAATTAGATATCATTAAGCAAAGATGAGTATATTGTCATAGAATGGAATTGCTTCCTCTGGTGGCATCATGAGTAGGATTTCAAAATTATTATACTACAGAAACATGTAAAATTTACTAAGACTGACCTGGTTCCTTGGCTCCTAAAATGATGAAAATATTAATAATTCTAAAATAATATAGAACAGATCAAAATATAGAAGTCTCAAAGTGTCTTTTAGTGGCTAAAAAGCTGAAGCTTTATTAATCCGTGTGAATAGTACTTCATGGGAAAATGAAGTCTGAAGCAGAATTTTGAAAATTTGTTGAACATGGTTTGACAAACAAGGCAATCATTTAACAGAAACCATATGTAAAACACAGAGAGAGAAAAAATAGGAAAGAATAAATATATTTTACATTTTTCTTTACAAAAATTCCTTTATATGCCATTTCCTCAATATTTTCAATGTTATAATATTAGTAACTTCATGTAGATGTTACTTTAGGTTGACAGGCTTTTTTTTTTTTTTTTTTTTTATCATTTCAATGCACATTTAATTCTCTAAGTGATATATTAAAGAGAAGCCAGGATGAGTTATTGAATTAACTGAGTATAATACACTTTTAATTATTTTTTATTATGTAGAATATCAAATGAATACAAAAGTAAACAGTAATATAAAAAGCCTCCATTTATTTATTACCTACCTTCACTGTCCAGCTCTACCAGCTATATTATTTTGAAGCACATTTCAACAGACAATTCATCCTTATAAATTTTAGTATCTCTAGAAGATAAAGACTTTAAAAAGCATAATGACAATACCATTATATCACACCTAAAAAATGAATTAATAGTGATCTCTTACTACCATCAAATATTTAGTAAGTGTTCACATTTTCATTTGTCTTATAAAAATAATTTTAAAAATTTACAGGTTGACTAAATAAGAATCTACATGAAATTATACTTTGCAGTTGACTTAAATGCTTTTAAGATTAAAAAAAAAAATTCCTCCTCTATCTTTCTCTCTCTCTCCCCCCCTCCCCCCTTGCAATTTGTATATTAAATCCTATTGAGTTTCCCATTTTTAATTTTTTACCATTGCATGTTGTGGTTTGGTGTAACATGTTCCTCTCACCTCTTGATTTTTTGTAAATTGTTGGTTGGGCCTAGAGGCAGTTAATACTTTTTATACATAGTCATCTGTAATCTCTGTAATAGCTGAATCCACATTCAGTTTAAATTGGAAATGCTCAAAATAATTTAGGGAATTTAAAAAAATCTACATATAAAGATTTTAAGAAATCACAATTTAGTGTCACATACTTATTTTTTGAAATACCATCATAATTTACTATGGCATTTGCTAAAATTTTTAAAATTTATTTATTTTATATTCTATCTGAAAATTGAATCCAAAAATTCTCGCTTATTATTTTTAAGATACTTTAAAAGACAGAAAACATTTTTTCTCCTTGCAGACTGAGTAGGATAATTTAGAATTACTTTATAAGTGGGCTATTTCCCCTTGCTTTTCTAATATTTAGCTTAAGTATTTTAGTTTATTTTTGAACTAGTTGGGGGCAGAAGAGAATAGGATCATGGCAAAAACTATTTTTAGTACATAATTTATAATAGATATGCAATAAATAGATAATACTGTTAGCCTTTAAAGGAAGCCTAATAATTAGAAGTAGCATAATGTTACCAGATTATTTTTGACCTTCCTAGTTATATTTAAAATATTTCATTATTTTATACAGTGGAATTTGCAATTGTTCTGATCTAATTTACCATTTTTACAGAAACAGCTGTAATACCTATTAATGGTTCACCTCGAACACCAAGGCGAGGTCAGAACAGGAGTGCACGGATAGCAAAACAACTAGAAAATGATACAAGAATTATTGAAGTTCTCTGTAAAGAACATGAATGTAATATAGATGAGGTAATTTGACTTCATGATTTATTTAAAATAGTTAAAGTAGATTTAGATATAAGTTCTTTCTAACAGTATATACTCCTTTTGTAATGAGCTTGCTTTTTGTAATTAGTGCTAACCCTTTTGCAATAGTAAAATGTTTAGCAAAAGTTTAATTTTCATGTTCAGCTACTTTGATTTTAAAGAGTAGCTCCCTCACTCTGGAATCACAGAAATGTGAATCATTAAGGCAGTAGTTTTCAAATGTATTTATTCTTTGATTCCTCTGTGATTATGATACCCCTAATGTTTTATAATATCCTGCTAAGAAAGCCCTAGTGTTTTTGGTTTAGTGATAAGTGATACCATCATTAAATTTCTGTTTAGACTTCTATAATTACTATCTTTCTAAATATTACATCAGATGATAATGGTTGGTAGAGAGTACACATAAAAATGCAGGAATTGCTTATTTTGTTCATAGAATCTGGAATGTTGGAATTGGAAGGATTCATAAATAATATACTCTGCCTCCTTTTTGTAATGAGTAAATAAGCTTCTAGAGACTGAGCTAATTACTAACTGTCTAGACTCTGGGACATCTTGCTACCAGTGCTCCTGTCACTGTACCATGCTGTTTCTCTCATACATTGTTATATTGTCCACAATTCACTACCATCAGATAACTAAATATATGAAATGCTGCATCTTTGAAATTTCTCTATGAACTCTAGAAAGAAGTGGGGTTTTAAAAGTGTTGGAATGATTTATCAAGATATCTGGGTTTTTAGCACTGTAGCTTTTGTTAATTTCAAAAAAAGAATAGATGTAGACATATAGATACAGATGTATCAACTTTATGTATATAGATATATGTGTGTATATATGTATGTGCATATATATTTTTCTAGAATCACAAATTATCTTTGCTAATAAGCTAACAAATGTAGTTGACATACATATTTTTTTCACTCCAGTCTACTACTCAGTCCATTTTCTAATTCCTAGTTGTTAATTCTCAGAACTACTTGTAAAATTTCATTTTTAAAATCAAGAATAAATCTTTTTTTTTTTACTTTTTTATTTTTTGTTATCATTTAGAATTATTATAATAATGCTTTTTAAAGTATAGGTAATTAAAATTTTTGGTGATAATTGACATTAATTAATTGACACTTGATTATTTACACAGCATTTATTGGTTAGTTATATTTATGGTTATATAATTATTAGTGAACTACCCACCTTTTAAATATTCTAGTTAAGTGGGAATTAATTAGAAAACAAAGCTAGTAAGTTTAACAGAAGCTTAATTCTTACAACTTATTTGTGAAGTAGAAAATAGGAACTGATATTATTTCATTTCCAGCTTAGTAAATGTAGACTTCACTGTTGTAAAAGGAAGTTAAATGAAGGGAAGTAAATTGCTTAAAATTCTGCAACACATTGCAAATGTAGAATAGCCAGGAATATAACTTCAGGTTTTTCTGAGTAGTGTCTTTATTTTTCATATTAAAAGCAGGATGCTTTTGCATGAATTTGCATAATTACACAAAACATTTTATCTTGGTTTTGAATTCAGTTGTTGGGTATTATTTTTATATGTGAAATTATTTTGTTACAAAAGCAGGTTATTTTCCCAAATTTATGCTAAAATAATGACTTAATATTCTCTAAGCTAGGTATTAGATGACGTCTGTGAAGTAGACTAAACTATACTTTGGGGACAAATCAGAGGCAGTGAAGAAGTAAAAGGAGTCTTGGCTTTGCTGTTAGGCAGATTATGTTTAAATTCCAGCTCTGCTGCTTCCTAGCTGTGTTACCTTGGTCAAGTTGATTAATTTTTTTGAGCCTCCCATTTTTTATCATTTGTTTAATGTGGAATACTGAGATTGGTTTCAGTGGCTTTTCTTCTTAAAAATCCCATTTCATTAAAAACTCCAACTCCACCCCATTTTAGGACTTGAAACCTGCCATACATAATTTTAAAGGTAAATAATTAAATTAATTATAAATAAATGTCACACTAGGTTGAATGTAAGTTATTGATCAAAATGTCAGTTAACACTTTCATTCTAGTGATAGTGATGGAGATTAATTTTTAAAATTTTTAATGGTCATCTACCTTTATCTTTTTCAGGTGAAAAATGTTTATTTCAAAAATTTTATACCTTTTATGAATTCTCTTGGAATTGTAGCTTCAAATGGACTTCCAGAGGTAATTTGAAAGAAAACTTAATAAAATGTTAATGTGTTTTGGAACTTTTGGGAGGGAGAAATAGTTCTCTAAATTTCTTAAGATCACTCTACTATATATTAAATACTTCTTGCTCAGGAAAAAGAATCTAAGAATTGTGATGAACCAACTTTACTTAGAAACAAGAAAACCTTTTTAACGTGTACTCAAACATATAAATAAGCAGTATCCTGTAATTTAAATTAGAAATTGATTCTTACTAAAATGTTTCAAAAATTTAAATGTAAACTTTTGAATTTCTAAATTTCACTAATATTTAAAGATAGTGCTCACCTGGGCAGCACATATACTAAATATAACTAAATATATACAATCACATTTGACTCTAATTTGCTTTACTTCACAAATTCGTGCATAAAATCAATAATTAATGCCATTAACTTTATTGCCATTATTGTATTGAAGAGCATTTTGAGTATTTTTAAAAAATTACATTCATAACTTTGGTTGAAATGACTGTGATTATATTGCAGAAATATTTTACCTTAATGGTGTACCATCCATCCGTTCTTTTTTTCTTCACATTTTGCCTTAAATAGTTTGCTCTTTAATGAGAACAGAACAACTGAGAACTTACGTGGTAAGGTAAAATATGTGGAGAAAAGGGTGCTTCAGATAGAGGCTGAAGAACAAGTACTCAGTTATAAAGCAGTATTTTAAAAGCAGGTAGCATTAGTCACTAAGAACAAAAGATATGAAATCAGATAGCTAGACTGCTGATTCTGTGGCCTGAACTGGTAGGTAGTCCTTGAAATCATTCATTCACACGTACAACCCTACTTATTGAGTGCTTAGTATGTGCCAAGCATTGTGCTAGATGTCATTGATACAGAAATTTAACTTGTAGCTACTGTCATTGAGGTGCTAGTGGGACATAGACAAATAAATAGAACATTACAGGAGTCTATAAGAGTCTGATAGAAGTATATACAGAGTGTTGTAATATTTTAGAGGAGGTCAACCTAGTCTAAAGTGGGGCAGATAGATTTTGCGGAAAATTGTTTGGATTGATATCATTTCTGAGATGAGCAAGTTTTATGAAAAATGGCATTTCCAAGGGTTGGAAATTACAGATTCAAAGGCACAGCAATATGTGATAGTTTGGTCTGTTCAGTGAACTCCGACTAGTTAAGGTTGGGTTACAGGGCAGAAGAGAGGCAAACAGGGGCCGAATGTTGTATTACTGAGTCTTGTTATTAAGAAATATGCTGTTCACAACTCTAAAAAATGTTGGACACTTGTAGTAATTTTTCTACAAGAAAGGATTATAATTTTAATAAAAATCTTAAGATAAATTTCCCCCCAATATTTTGCATATAGTACTCATAGCTGTCAATCAATAAATGATTGATAGTGTTTCACTAAGCTAGGGCAGTAACACTTATTAAACTTAAACATTAATGATTGTTGTACCTAAAAAATTTATGCAGACAAAAAGTTTATACTTAACTGGATTTCTTCTTCCACTCCTTTTAGAATGCAATTTTAGTACCCTCAGGTTGGAAACACTTTTGCCTTGAAAGGCACTTAGAAGGCATGCCAAATAGTTGTCTATTGTGCATTGATTTTTAAATTATGAGTCAAAATTATGAAACAACTGATAAAATAATTGCAGATTCCAGCAATTGAAAAAGTGTTTAAGAGTGGGAATAAATCATGCAAATATGTTAATTGGTCTAGTTAATTGAGCAAATACTTTTGCCTAACATACTTAACTGAAGGAAGTTGGAGTGAATGAAAAGATTTAGAAAAGATGGGAAGAATATATATATATAGTCAAGAGAATTTGTTACAGTATTTGAAAAATACTTCATTTTATATTGATATATACTTATCAATATAAAATGAAGTATTTTTCAAATACTGTAATCTACTGTAGATTAAAAGTGAAAAATGTATGGGATGTTTGGAGGATCTTGGCAGTTAAGTGGTTATAATAATACTTATTTTTATCTTACAGTTCCATCTCAGTACTGATTTGGGCATTGATAAATCTTGTCTATATGAAATTCTAATGAGTGGGGTGCATGCATAAAATACGTTAAAATTAGAATTGAAAATTTGCAGTTTACTTCACTTGCACATATGCCTTATTTATATTTCATGTGAACTCAATGTGTAGTAAAATTAAGTATATTGTATAAAAATTCTTTAATTAATCTGTGTATTGAGAGATGTAATGACATGAAAGTATAATCATCAGTATTATTTTCTTTTGAGGTGGAAAGTCTCTCTAAACAATATGAAGAAATTTACCTTAAAAACAAAGATCTAGATGCAAGATTATTTCTGGATCATGATAAAACTCTGCATGCTGATCCTATAGACAGGTATTGTACATGGTATATTTTTGTTTAAATGCTTTGCTATAGGTCAGTTTTGATAGAGGTAGGTTAAACAGGTTTTTGTTTAACTTAATGATCTTTAAATAACATTTATAATGATTACTTCAGATGTCTTTCTATAAAGCTAATAAGATAAACAATATTTAAACATATTATTTATTAACAAATGGAGATTTCTTATGATACAGTGTCTTAGCTTTACATAGATTTAAACCTATTCTTTTTTATTTAAACAAGTGAAAAATATCTTCTGTACTGTATTGTCTATTTGCCTCCTGGTATGCACAGGTTAGTGTTGATTTTTAATATCTTTTTAAAGTAATTTTTCTCCAATCAAGTCAAGGCAGAGAATAAATTTTTCAGTATTTCCTTCATGCTTTCTGGAATGTAGTTGTTTTCACTTTTCCTCACTGAGTCTTAATTTCCTCATCTGTACAATGCAAGCATTTACTGTAGAGTCACATATATACTAGGTGTACTGGTTAATAACAGCGGATTTTGTAATCAAAGAAAAGATGATAATTTCAAGAGAAACTTCAAAAGTGCTTTGTTCAAAGTAATATCCATCACTGGCTATACATTTCCCCATCTTTCAGGTAGATACGGTCCCAATAGAACTTTTCTTGTTTTGAGGTAAATCATTCAGAGACCCACTTTTCCACTCCTTCGTATGTTTAGAAGTGCTGCTCAGAAAGTGTGTGTGCCATCGATCAGAACAAATGGTAATCTGAAAGAGCAAGGTCTGGTGAATACAGCGGGTGGGTTAATACTTCCCAGGCAAGATCTTTTAATGTGTCTTTAACTTGTTTTGAAATGTGTGATGGTCCATTATCATGAAGCAAAATTACTTTTTAGTATCTTCTGGCACATTCTGATCATTTCACGATCAAAGCGTGGTTCAAATTGATTATTTGTTGTCGGTAGCGATTAGTATTAACAGTTTCACCTGGTTTTAGAAGCTCATAATACACCACATCTTCCTGATCCCACCAAACGCAGAGCATTGTCTTCTTTCCAAAGCGATTTGGCCTTGCAGTCGATGTTGATGGTTGACCTGGATCAACCCATGATTTGGGGCATTTGGGATTCTCAAAATCCACTTTTCATCACCAGTCACAATTGCATGCAAAAAAGACTTTCTTTTATGCCATTGAACCAACATTTTTCTGAGGATTTTTCGGTTTTCCATTTGTCTGTCAGTTGATGTGGCACTCATTTTCCTTTCTTTAAAATATTTCCCATTGCTTGTAAAATATCAGAAATTTGTTTGCTGAGCAAGGTTTCATTTTTCTGCAAATTGTTTGACATGCATATATACTGTTTTCTGCAAGAGTTTGACACGCATCTTCATCCAGTAATGCTTGTAATTGTTGGTCTTCAAACTTTTTCAGTTGACCAGGACGCCTCACTTTTAAAGCGTTTAAATCAGCATTCACAAGTATCTTGAGATGGAGCATGTTCACCATAAGTTTCCCAAAATATTCAGCAGCACTTTTCTTTAAAATAATGAATTAAAACTTCCCACAAATGCTCTATTTTTTTGGTATGAAATTTGACATTTTTAAGTGTAAAAATATCTATAATGTAACAGATAATGTTACATCATAGAAACATAGATGATGTTACTTCAGAAAATTTGTCATATGAAGTTTTGAAGCTTGTTGTCAATACAACAAAATAGCATACATATCAAATTGCATATGTATCAACATATGTGTAACTCCATCTATTGAACAAAATCTGCATTATTATAACTGGTACACCTAGTACTTTGCACTATATATACATATATATTAATGAATGGAAATTTATAAATTGAAAAGTGATAGAAAATGCTAGCAATCCTAGTTCAACTAATGGGGTTGAATATTTTTCATAAAACTAGGATGGGATAAATTTGTATACATAAGAAAGCAATCAAACATAAGTTAGAGAAGAGGAAAGTGAAGATGCTGACCAGCCAATTGAATATATGATTTTCATTTTTTTAAACTAAAAAAAGTTCACCTACTACCTTTCATTTCCTCTGGTTTGTTCTCTATATTTAAAAGTTTAAATTAAAAAAGAAAATATATAAGAGAAATTATACTGTATTTTTTTCTTTCTGGCATTTCACTTAACGTAATGTTTTTAAGATTGCAGAGGCAAAATTTCCTTCTTTTTAATGGCTGAATAATACTCCATTGTAATATATATATATATATATATATATATATATATATATGTCTTAAAATTTCTTTATCATTCATCCATCAATTGACATTTATGTTTCTATATCTTAATTATTAAAAATAATGCTGCAATGAACATGGGGGTGCAGGTATCATTTCAATTTAGTGTTTTTGTATAAATTCCCAGCAGTAGAATTACTGATCATGTAGTAGCTCAATTTTTAATTTTGGAGGAACTTTCATATTAATATTCATACTGGCTGCACCAATTTACATTCCCACCAACAGTGCACAAGTATTCCCTTTTCTCCACATCTTTGCCAACATTGGTTATTTAATGTCTTTTTGGTAATAGTTATTCTAACTGGTGTGAGATGATATTTAAATGTGGTCTTGATTTGCATTTCTCTGAAGACTAATGATGTTGTACTTATTGGTCATCTATATGTCTTTGGAAAAATGTCTATTCAAATCTGTTCATTTTTAAATTTGTGTTTTTGAAATTGAGTTCTTTATATATTTTTAATATAAACCTTTTATGAGATATGATTTGTAAATATTTTCTCTTATTGAATAGATTGCCATTTTTCATTTTGTTGATGGTTTCATATGCTGTGCAGAAGCTTTTTAGTTCAGTGTACTTCTACTTGTTTATTTTTGCTTTTGTTGTCTTTGCTTTTGTTGTCAGATTAAAAACATTTCCACTAGTGATGTCAAAGAGCTTCTAAACACCTTTGCTTTTTTAAAGGAGTTTTATGGTTTTCTGTCTTACATTCATGTTTTAATCCATTTTGAGTTAATTTTTTAGAAGATAGTAGTCAAATTTTATTCGTTTGTATGTAGGTGTCCAGTTCTATCAGCACGACCAACAATATTTTTTCCATTAATTTTCAAAGAGTGGAAAGGAGGGAGGAGGGAGGTAAGAGAAAGGAAAGGAGGAAAATGGGAGGAAGGGGAGAGAGAGAGACACATCAGTTGCCTACTGCATGCACCCTGGCCCACAACCCAGAATCTAGCACAACCCTTCAGTCCATGGGCCAGTGTTCTAGCACTGAACCACATGGGCTAGGGCAATGGTCGGCAAACTCATTAGTCAATAGAGCCACATATCAACAGTACAACTATTGAAATTTCTTTTGAGAGCAGAAAACCAACTTCTGTGCATGGGATGTTGTACTTATTTCACTGTACATGCGCGCCTGCATGTGGTATTTTGTGGAAGAGCCACACTCAAGGGGTCAAAGAGCCGCCTGTGGCTCGTGAACCACAGTTTGCCTACCACTGGGCTAGGGCTCAGCACCACCTATAGAAGAGACTGTCCTTTCCTTATTCTAAATTCTTGGCTTCTTATGAATTAATTGATAATATATGTGTGTGTGTGTGTGTGTGTGTGTGTGTGTGTGTGTGTGTGTGTGTGTGTTTTTCTGGGGTTTCTATTCTGTTCCCTTGATCAAATGTCTGTTTGTCTGCCAATGTCATGCTATTTTGATTATGCTACCTCTATAATGTAGTTTAAAATCACAAAGTGTTATGGCTTCAGCTTTGTTCTTTGTTTTTTTAAGATTGTTTTGGCTATTTGGGTTCTTTTGTGATTCCATACAAATTTTAGGATCGTTTGTTCTGCTTTTATGGAAAATGCCATTGGAATTTTGATAGGGATTACTTTGAATCTGTATGTTGCTCTGGGTAGTATTGAGATTTTTATACTAATGATTGAGAGTAATTACAAAATTTTAAAAATGACCATAAGTATGATTAATATGGCTTTAGCCATATTAAATTATTAAAATATTTTAATATGTATTAATTTTATAATTATTTTAATATGTGTTATTTTGTAATAATAATTTTATAATTAAATACAAGTAAGTATTTCTAATTTTATTTAAATAAAAGTAAAGGTTTTGGAAGGCATAATGATTGAAAAACTTGAACTTTAATATATTTTTTATTTTTTTATTTTATTGATTTTTTTATGGAGAGGAACAGAGAGGGATAGAGTTAGAAACATCAATGAGAAAGAAACATTGATCAGCTGTCTCCTGTACAACCCCCACTGGGGATGTGCCCGCAACCACAGTACGTGCCCTTGAGTGGAATCGAACCTGGGACCCTTCAGTCCATAGGCCAATGCTCTATCCACTGAGCCAAACTGGTTTCAGCCAGCTTTGATATTTTTTGACATGGAAAAATTGATTTATAATGCCATTGAACATCAATCTTTTTTTTAAAAAATATATTTTATTGATTTTGTACAGAGAGGAAGGGAGAGAGATACAGAGTTAGAAACATCAATGAGAGAGAGTCATCCATCAGCTGCCTCTTGCATACCCTCTACTGGGGATATGCCCGCAACCAAAGTACATGCCCGTGACTGGAATCGAACCCAGATCCTTCAGTCCCCAAGCCGATGCTCTATCCATTGAGCCAAACCGGTTTCGGCTGAATATCAATCTTTGTAGAGAAAATATCTTTCTCTTTAAAAAAATCCTTAATGATTGTACCTGTTTGTCATAAACCTACCCTGTTTCCCCGAAAATAAGACAGTGTCTTATATTAATTTTTTCTCCCAAAGTTGCACTAGGTCTTATTTTCAAGGGATGTCTTATCTTTCCATGCCCTAGGTCTTATTTTCGGAGGATGTCTTATTTTTGGGGAAATACGGTAGTAGAAAGAAACCCTATTTAAAAACTAGTGAAAGCCCTGGCCTGGTGCCTCAATTGATTGGAGTGTCCTCAGGTACATCAAAAGGAGGTTGCAGATTTGATTCCCCCTTGGGGCATGTACAGGAGGCAACTGAGTACTGCTAGTAATGTTTCTCTCTCACATAGATGGTTCTCTCTCTCTCTCTCCTTTTCTCTTTCTGTAAAGTCAACTAAAAAATTTCTTTAGTTGAAGAATTAAAAAACACACCACAATTTTATTTATTTATGCAACTGTTGGATTATCTGATTCCTATCACTTCTATTACAGACTTGTCATTTTGTATCATGTTATGAGGCAATGGAGCATATTGTTTCTGTTTGTTTTTTTTTACTCATAAAGTAAAGTGTAAATTTTCAGTCTGAATGACTTTGCTTTTCATTATTTAGTTTTGAAATTCAGAGAACACCACGAAAAAGAAATAATGATGAAGAGTTGAATGTGATTCTTCCCCAAACTCCAGTTAGGTATGAACTGTCTTACTCTTCATTTTCATTATACTTTTTTATCCAATGCTTCATAGAGCTTTGGGTTTGTTTATTTATTCTATTATTTATTTATATATAGATGCCACAAATATAGTATTTTGAGTGCTTTTTGCATTTAATATTTTGATAATGGCTGAGGATATGATTATTAGACCTAGTTCTGTCTGTCATTAAGGAATATATCTAGAGTGGGAATGTGTTCCATCTCAGTAAATGAAAAATTAAAAATATGTTTCACCATTTGGTTTGCATATAACCTAGAAGGATTAGAACTATTTTCTTATGACCTTATCCTCACTTACTTCCCAAATATAATATGTTTTAAGTCTTATTAAATTTACCTCTAAAATATTTTTAAACCCATCTACTATTCTCCATTACTGCTCTAACTACCCTTGTCCAAGATATCCTTTTCTTTCCTTTTTGAGGTATCCTATTGTCTCATCTCATTCCCATTCTTTCTGTCTACCACCAAACCTGTTCTCTAGAGCTCCCAGAATAATATTCTTTAATTCTGTTCATGATCACTCTGCCATTAAACCTTCTGATTGTTTCATGTTGCAATGGAAATATAACGCAAATTTTAAAATAATACTTACAAGGTCTTGTATGATCTAAATGTGTTGCCTATCTAACCTCATCTTGTTTTTCTCTTCATTAAATGTTAGCCAGTCTCCTGAAGTCTCCAACCAGCCTCTTCTGTTGTGCTTGAGTACTTTCACGCTTGCTTTTCCTTCTTAACTCTTTTCTTTCCATGAATTACCAACTGTTACAGTTCCTTTAGGTTTGGCACAAATAGTCCTTTTTAAAAAAGATTTATTTCTTTCTGAAATATTTTCTTGTATTCCTTCTCAGAGCATACCTTTGAATTCATTCATAGTGTGCATCACAATGTGTAATTAGAAAACGATTTGTGTGTTTGCTTGTTTTGGCTAATATCCAATAGCTTTTAAGTTGTATACCACATGGACCATGACTTTTTTGTTTAGCATGTGATAATTAGGACCAAGGCTAATACTGGGCATTTAGTAAGTAATCAGTAATATTTTTAAATGACTATTTGGAGATATAAAATACATTTTTGTATAAGTATAGTAATAGACTTAAGACAAGTTAATGAAATGGTACAGAATGAACTTTATGAAGTGATATTTGAACTGAATTTTGAATATGTAAAGATTTATGTCACAGGATAGTGGCATGTTAGTGGGTGGAAACAGCATATGCAAAGGGATGGAAGAAAGAAACAAGATGTGTCCGGGTACTGTTAGCAGCTTTGTATTGATTGACTGTAAAATGGGAAAATGACAGCAAGAGAGGATGGTGGGAATCAGATTATGAAGGATCTTATTTGCCATACTTACAAGATTTGACAGTAGTTTGTGCACAATATACATAGTCTGTTGGTATAAATGGGTGTTAAGCAGAGGTAAGTATAAAATTAGACTTGGCTTTTTAGTCTACATGGTGTTAGTTTGTGAGAAGGTGGAGGCGAACATGGTGTGAAATACTGAGACCTGTTAACCTGTCACAATGGTTCTTAACCAGGGGTCAAATGATAATAACCTGGGGAGTTTTTTCAAAGTACAAGTTTTTTCAAAGTACCGTAGACATAGTGAGTCAAACTCTCTGGACTGTTGTATTGCAGTAATTTAGTTGAAAGATGTTGAAATAAGAGATAGGCAGTGGAAATGAAGGAGCAAGAACAGTTTTGCAAGTATTTGATGAATTCATATTTAGAATATTATTTTTGAGGCTTTTATGGGCTATAAAGATGTGTAGTAAGTAGTAGGATATAAGGATCTTATATACTTAGGAATAATCAGGGAGAGTGAAAGCTCTAAAAGTAGATGAGGTTCCCTGAAGTGAGGGTGTATAATGGCAAGAATGTATGGCTAAGGGCTGAACAAGAAAGAATGCTGTCATTGAAGGACTAAATAGAAGGTAGATTAAATGAGGAGTGTGATTGGGAGCTCAAGAGAGTGAAGGCAGAAAAACCAAGGGGTGCAGGAGGGGGGCGGGGAGCAGTTTCAGGAAAGAGCAGGTGTTTAAGAAAGTCAAGTATACCTCAAGGAAGTCAAATATAAGATAAAATGAGAAAGATTTTTGGTTTTTTAGAAGTTTGTGACTTAAGTCACTGTGCTTTAAGTAGATCATTGAATGTACAAGTCATAGAAGCAATATATTTGAAAGGTGAGGAAGTGTAGATATCAGTTTATAAATGCTTGACTGAGAACACTGAAAACATTTTACTGAATAATATTTAATAATCTTTTTAATCATAAATATCTACAGTTCTTTGCATCATTAAGTAGTGCCTACAGTAGCAATGTATTGCTACTCCAAAATTGGAACATGAATATTTATTGTACCATCAATCATATAATTATAGAATTAAAGGAAATTCCTAAGATATTGACTGAATTTTATGCTTTAACAATGATGACTTCTAAAATTATGTATGCTTTCCTTTTGAAAAATTTCTTGCTGTCTTTATTTGGAAAAGTTTAGTATTTAATTATATTAAAAGATTACTATTTTGATGCCAGCTTATGTTTTCTCCTTAATATAATGTTGAATTTGACCACAATGTTATATTGATGTATAGTTCTATTAGTAAATAAGTTCATCGTTTTTCATAAACATATTTATTATGAACACATCTTTTCTTTAAGCTTTAAGTAAAATATAATTCCTTGTAAATAATAGTATACTAAGGGTTTTATTGCAGAGAACTTTTTAAAGATAAATGGGAGACAGTGAGTTTGAAGATATATTTAATTTGTGTGTTAGCTACGTTTCATTTTTTTCCCCTTCATTGTTTAACATTTCTTTTTTTGTCTAGGACTGTTATGAACACTATCCAACAATTAATGATGATCTTAAATTCAGCAAGTGATCAACCATCAGAAAATCTGATTTCCTATTTTAATGTAAGCCATTTCTGAACATTATTTATTGTAATACCTTAGCAAATAAATTTGAAATTAGAAGTTAAAATTCTGAGTATTTTTAAAATACTTATCTCCCAATCAACAAGAATATAGTTCTCTATTACCTTATTATTGTTTTAAATCTTCAACATTAGATATTATTAGTAGATGTTACTAGTAGACAGCATTTTTCTTAGATTTCCTCTTATTTATTTATCTTACTCAGCATTTTTTCTTATAATTTATTTTTTAACTTTATTTTTATTGACATTATTATAGATGTCCCCATATCCTACCCCAGCACTTGTCATTTGTTGATTTGTTGATGGTAGCCATTCTGATAGGTGTGAGGTGATACCTCATTGTCATTTTAATTTGCAACTCTCTGATGACCAGTGACTCTGGGCATGTTTTTATATGTCTCTTGGCCATCTGCATGTCCACTTTGGAGAAGTGTCTATATAGCTCCTCTGCATATTTTTAAATTTTATTGTCTTCCTTTTGTTAAGTTGTATGAGTTCCTTATATATTTTGGGTAGTAACCCTTCATCAGATGTCTCATTGCCAAATATTTTCTCCCATACAGAAGGTTCCCTTTTCATTTTGTTGATGGTTACTTTAGCTGTGCAGAAGCTTTTCATTTTGACGTTGCCCCATTTGTTTATTTTCTCCTTAGTTTCCCTTGTCCAGGAGATGTATCAATAAATATATTGCTATGAGAGATGTCTGAGATTTTGCTGCTATAGTTTCCTCTAGGTTTTTTATGGTTTCACAACTTACATTTAAGTCTTGTATCCATTTGAATTTATTTTTGTGTTTGGTATAAGTTGGTGATCTAGTTTCATTTTTTTGCATGTACCAGACCAATGTTCCCAACACCATTTACTTAAGAGACTGTCTAGACTCTATTGGATGCTTTTGCTTCCTTTGTCAAATATTAATTGAGCATAATGGGTTAGGTCCACTTCTGAATTCTCTGTTCTGTCCCATTGATCTATATTCTGTTCTTATACCAGGACCAGGCTATTTGATTACAGTGGCTTTGTAGTATAACGTGTTATCTGGTATTGTAATCCCTCCAACTTTATTCTTCTTTCTCAACATTGCTACAACTATACACGGTCCTTTTTGGTTTCATATAAATTTTTAGAGTATCTGTTCAAGATCTGTGAAATATACTGTTGGTATTTTAATAGGGTTTATATTGAATCTGTAGATTGCTTGGGTAGTATGGACATTTTAATAATGTTGATTCTACCAATTCATGAACTTGGTTTGTTCTTCCACTTGTTTATATCTTCCTCTGTCTCTTTTCTCAATGTCCTGTAGTTTTCTGAGTACAAAGTCTTTTATCTCCTTGGTTAAATTTATTCCTAAGTGTCTTAATTTTTGTTGTGGTTGCAGTTGTAAATGGGATTAGTTTCACACACACACACACACACACACACATATATATATATATATATATATATATATATATATATATATATAGCCAGTGACTGGAATGACCAGAATGACCAGAATGACCTTTTGCTATGATGCCCACTGCCACCAGTGAATCAGCCCGATAAGGAGGTGGGGCTGCCTGGCCAACCCCCACACAGTCCTTCCCCCTGGCTAGCTCCACCCCTGATCATCCCCCCTTCCCCCAATAGGGAGTGGGGCCAGTCAGCCAACCTTCTACAGCACCTCCCTGGAGCCAGCCCCACCTCTGGTGGGCCCTCACCACCCCAATCGGCCCTCAGCCCCATTCCCAGCTGGCCCTACCCTTAATTGTCCCCCTTATCCCAGTAGGGGGCAGGGCCAACCAGCCAATCCCTCCTCACTGCTGGCTCTGCCCCCATGGGTCCCTACCACCCCAATCAACCTGCGACCCCTCCTCCCAGCCAGCTTTGACCCTGATTAGTCCCTCCACTCAGATCAGGGGCAGGGCCAGTAGGCCAACTACCCATGGCCCCTACCTTAGGCTACTGGCCTCCGATCGGGACCCCCCACCCCATTCAGGGGCAGGGCCTACTGGCCCACTGCCCACAGCCCCTCCCCACAGCCGGCCCACCCCCGATCAGCCCCCATCACTCTGACTTATCTTTTTTCATAGTTACTATATCTTTTCTCATGCTCTTGAGCATCCTTGCCATCATTATTCAAAACTCTATATCTGATAAGTTTCTTATCTCAGTTTCATTTAACTCTTCTTCTGGAGAATTCTCTTGTTCTTTCATTTGGGCTTGATTTTTTTCTGTTCTGATTTTGGCTGTCATTAGGTAAGTCTGCTACCACTCCCAATCTCTAATGCAGGACAATGTCAGATGCTGTTTGTGACTGGCCCTGGTTACCCTGTTTGGAACTATTAGCAATTCATAGCTTGTGGCTCCCTCTGCTGGGGCTCAATGCCTTTGGAAAGGACAAAAATTTTCCTAACCCTGGGCCCAGAAGGGGATCAAGCAAAGACTCTTGGCCTACAGAGACCTGCCTCTGCCTGTAGCCTAATTGTTACTTAGTCTTGATTAGCCTCAGGCTATGGACTACAGAGAGGTGCAAAAGGGTTTCCAATATGGTGGGGCAATTTCTTCTTCCTGCAGGATGAATTTTATTCTCATAATGGGCCTCAGAAATTTCACAGTCTCTTAATGCACCTCAGCAATTCCATAGTTTGGGGCAAGGGGTTTTCCAATATGGTGTGTTTCCCCCCCCCCCCCTCCCATCTCCCCTCAGAGGCAAAAGCTGCCTGGATGGTAAAGGTCTCCAAAGAACGAGGGAATGAACCAACACAGGAAACCAGGTGGATGCCCTCCAAGCTCCAATCCCAGAGTCCCCAACCTTGGACTCTCCTCATACAGCTCCAGTCTACTCTACCTTCCCTCTGCCAGAGCTCAAGGAGAGTAATTGCATACAAAATTTTGTGTGTTTGCCCTTTATGTGGGTGCCTGTATTTCCAGCTGGCCACATCTGAAAGATAGCAAACCAGCAAATGTTGTGTGGGCACCTTTCTTAGTTCTGCTGCTCTGAGCTGGGGGACTAGCTTGGGGTTTAGACCCCAGAGTTCTCATTGGGAAGCCCCCCACTGCTGAGATATCCCTCTGGAACTTAAGCTGTTCTCTAGGGAGCCTGGCTAGCCTTTTCGTGCCTCTACACTTCCTACCAGTCACTATGTGGTCTTCACTTTCCATCCTTGGTTATGATGGTTCTCTCCAGCTAGTCTGCATTTGATTATTTAGGATGGTTTTTTCTGTATTTTATTTGTAATTCCATTTTAGTCCTGGGAATATGTTAGTTTAGCTTCCGCTTATACTGCCATTTTGGACTCTCCTGAAAGCACAATTTTAAAATAGGAAATGATACCAAGCTCAAATATTAGTTTCAATTTTGTCAGTTGCTTTTTTTGGGCATAACATACATTCTAATGTAACGCATAATTGAAGATAATATATGAGAGCATATGAGGCTCTTTTTTGACTTTGGTAATTGTTTCATTTTTTTGGTAAGCCATAATCCTATATAATAAAAGCCAAGGTGGGGTCACACCCTTGTGTGACGCCATCACAAGATGGCCGCCACAAGATGGCTGCATAGACAGTGGAGGTGGGACACGATGTCCCCTCTGCAAGGTGAGTCCTGGGGGTCCTGCGGCTCTGCTCAGCGTGGCGGAGGCCGGTCCCGGTGGAGGTGACAGGTTGCGAGAGAGGGGCAGTTTTGGGCAATCAGGCCAGCAGGGAAGGGCAGTTATGGATGATCATGCTGGCAGGGGTGGGCAGCATGGGGCAATCAGATGGGCAGGGAAGGGCAGTTGTGGGCGATCAGGCCCTGGCAGGGGAAGGCAGTTAGGGGTGACCAGGGTGGTATGGGAGGGAAGTTAGGGGTGACAGGGCCAGCAGGGTAATTCAGTTGGGGGCAACCAGGCCTATAGGGGAGGGCAGTTAGGGTGACTAGGCCAGTAGGGGAGGGCAGTTGAGGGCAACCAGGCCTGCAAAGGAGGGCATTTGGGGGCAACCCAGCCTGCAGGGTAGGGCAGGTAGGAGGACCAGGCCTGCAAGGGAGGGCATTTGGGGGCAATCAGGCCAGCAGGGGAGGGAAGTTAGGGGTGACAGGGCTGGCAGGGGAAAGCAGTTAAGGGCAACAAGGCCGGCAGGGGAAGGGAATTGGGGGTGACTGGGCTGACAGGGGAGGGCAATTGGGGGGGAAGAGGCCTTCAGGGGAGGGCAGTTGGGGGCAAATAGGCCTGCAGGGGAGGGCAATTGCGGGCAACCAGGCCTGCAAGAGAGGACAGTTGGGGGCATCCGGGCTGGCAGGGGAGCAGTTAGTTGTCAATCAGGCTGGCAGGCAGAAGTGGTTAGGGGAAATCAGGAAGGCAGGCAGGCAGCCAAGCAGTTGGGAGCCAGTAGTCCTGGATTGTGAGAGGGATGTCTGATCCCACAGGGATTGGGCCTAAACCGGCAGTCGGACAGCCCCTGGCATTCCAGATTGGAGAGGGTGCAGGCTGGGCTGAGGGACACCCCTCCACCCCCAGTGCAAGAATTTCATGCACCGGGCCTCTACTTGTAAATAATGCTACAATGGTCATGAGGGTGCAGATATCCTCTTGTGTCAGTGTTTTTATTTTCTTTAGATAAATACCAAGTTGGATTGCTGGATATTATGGTAGTTATATTTTTAGCTTTGTTTGTTTTTTTTTGTGAGAAATTTCCATACTATTTTCCATAGCAGTACATAAGTGTTTTCTTTACTCTACATCCTCATTAATACCTGTTATTTCTTATCTTTTTTGTCTTAGTCATTCTAACCAGTGTGACGTTATATCTCATTGTGGTTTTTGATTGGTATTTCTCTTATGATTAGCAACATTTTATATACCTGTTGGCCATCTGTATGTCCTCTTTGGAAAAATGACTATTTAGGTCTTCTCTCCTTTTTAAACATATTTGTAGTACAATTTTATTTTTTAATTAAACTTATTAGAGATGGTATTAGATAGCAATAAGATTATATAGGTTCAAGTGTACAGTTCTGTGATACATCACCTGTATACTATATTGTGTGTTCACCACCCAAAGTCAAATCTTCCATCACCAACTATTTGACCCCTTTTACTGTTTACCCCTTCCACTTCCCACCCCTCAGATTACCACTATAGTGTGTTTGACTATACATGTTTGCTTGTTTATCTTGTTTGTTCATGTGTTATTTTCAATTTTATATCCCTCATATGGATGAAATGACATTATTCCTAATTTTTTCTTTCTGACTTATTTCCCTTAGCATGATATTCCCAAGATTCACCTGTGTTGTCACACATGGCAGTATTTTATTTTTAATTATGGCTGAGTAATATTCTATTGTATATTTGTACTTCTATCCAATCATGTATGGAAGGACACTTTGGTTGTTTTCATGTCTTAGCCACTGTTAATGCTGCAATCAACATAGGAGTGCATATAGCTTTGCAAATAAACATATTCAAGTTTTTTTGTTTGTTTGTTTGTTTTGTTTTTGTTTTTGTTTTTTTTTAACACACCTAACACACCTGCAAAGGACAGGATGTCTTTCTTTCTTTCTTTCTTTCTTTCTTTCTTTCTTTCTTTCTTTCTTTCTTTCTTTCTTTCTTTCTTTCTTTCCTTTTTAAAAAATATATTTTATTGATTTTGTACAGAGAGGAAGGGAGAGAGATAGAGAGTTAAAAACATCAATGAGAGAGAGTCATTGATCAGCTGCCTCTTGCACACCCCCTACTGGGGATGTGCCTGCAACCAAGGTACATGCTCTTGACCGGAATCGAACCTGGGACCTTTCAGTCCCCAAGCTGATGCTCTATCCATTGAGCCAAACCGGTTTCAGCTTCAAGTTTTTTGGGTAGCTACCAAGAAGAGGGGTTTCTGGGTCATATGCTAACTCTATTCTTAACTTTTGGGAACCTCCATACACTTTTCCATAGTGATTTCCACCAGCAGTAAACCTCTCCAACACTTATTACTTATCTTATTGCTAATTGCCATTCTAATAGGTGTGAGGTGGTATCTCATTGTAGTTTTGATTTTTATTTCCCTAATAGCTAGTGAAGTATAGTATAGACAATATGTTAATTTTGATTAAAAAGTATTCTCAATATTTCTGTTTTTCTTCTTAAAGAAATGCACAGTGAATCCAATGGGAAGTATCCTGAAAAGAGTGCAGGATATTGGATACATATTTAAAGAGAAGTTTGCTAAAGCTATGGGACAGGGATGTATTGAAATTGGGTCACAGGTAACTGTAATTTTGATTACTGCTGTTATATTTTAAATGCAACATCTGTTCAAACTGTATAAGTATTATTATGTTATTTGTCCAATAGAATAAAATACTGACACATACTATATCTCTACTGCTCATCTATGCTGCTAGTATGGAAATCTTTATGGGTAAATACCCTTCACTTCTATATTAAAAAAAAAAAAGTAAATATGCAGAAAATTTTAGAAAAAGTGTAGATGTTTAAAAAAAATAAAGGAAGAATTTTTTTTTTTTTTAATATTTGATACTATTGCACATGCTTTGATTTCTACATTTAGGAATAGTTCTGTATGCATATACTTGTATGGAATGGGGTTATGTTATACATGCCATTTATCAGTAGTATTTTTAATACTGCTATTATTATTTCAGAAAACTTAAAACTAATATGTTGGATAAGAGTATGGGCTTTGGACCAGAACCATCTGGTTCTATCATTATAATCAATCATTTAACTTTTCTGAAAATTGGGTGTGTTTTTAAAAAATATTTGTATTGATTTCAGAGAAGAAGGTAGAGGGAGAGAGAGAGAGAAACATCAGTGATGAGAGAGAATCATTAATTGGCTGCCTCTTGCACACCCCATACTGGGGATCGATCCTGCAACCTGGGCATGTGCCCTGAACAGGAATCGAACTGTGACCTCCTGGTTCATAGGTCAACACTAAACCACTGAACTACACTAGCTGGACTTCAGTGGTTTAGTGTTGACCTATGAACCAGGTCAGAGTCGACCAAATAAAAAATCAGATTTTTTATTTGCTGGGCTTTGTTGTGACATTAATGAGGGAATACATAAAGATATATTTGGAAACTATATTCTACTATACACATTTATTTCAGTGTGGTGGTTTATATTTTGATGCCATGAGTATTTTAAACAATTATTTTTAATTTTTAATTGAATTTATTGGAGGTAACATTGGTTAATAACATGGTTTCAGGGGATAATTCTATAATATATAATCTGTATGTTGTGTATGTTCACCACCCAAGTCAAGTCTCTTTCCATTACCATTTATCCCCCCTTTACACTCTCCTACTTGCAAAGTTCTTTTTGTTTGTATATGAAATTTATGCTCATAATTTAAAATGAAGCAATGTGGTTTAGAGTGAGCATGTGTGTGTCTGCATGTGTATATATCTCTAAAATTTGATTATTCTTTGAGCTAATGGGAACTAGTTGTTAGGTTAAAACTTTTTGCTGATACATATAATCTATTGAATGATATAGACTGAAATGGTATGAATGAAAACAAAAGACCTCCCTCTTGATAATTTATTGGGCATGTTAGCTATCATTTATATTTAAGTGTTGAGTTTTAGACAAGCTAGCTTTCCTGATCTCTTGGTAGTCATATTCCTAAGAAAGTTCAGAAATGTGTTTCGAGGAAAACTTTAAAAAGATTAATAATTGTTATGATTTTCTAAAGTAGCGGGATATAATTATTTTTCTTTATTTGTAGCGATACAAACTTGGAGTTCGGTTGTATTACCGAGTAATGGAATCCATGCTTAAATCAGTAAGTTAAAAAAAAATAATAGAAAAAATTTAAATGCCAACATAAAAAAGGTTTCAGCAAAACATATTTTAAAAGTTTATTTTTATTGTTGAAAGTATTACAGATGTCCTCCCCCCCCCCCCCCAATTGATTCCTCTCCACCCAGCTCCTGCTCTTTCCCCAGGACTTTACCATACTGTTGTCTGTGTCCATGAGTTATGCATATCCTATACTAGGGGCCCAGTGCACGAAATTCATGTATTGGGGGTGAGGTGGGGGTCCCTGAGCCCAACCTGTCCCCTCTCACATACTGGGAGCCCTCAGGGGATGTCCTACTGACGGCTTAGGCCCGCTCCACGAGGAGCAGACCTAAGCCGCAGTCTGGCCTCCCTTTGTGGGAGGCGACCAGGCTGATCAGGGGAAGGCACCAGCCCCATCACCCCACTGCTGCAGCCACTGCCTGTCACCACAGCCACCAAGGTGTTTTCATCAACACGGACTCCAGTCCCTTCACCAAGAAAAAATGACAACTTTCTTTAGACATTTTCAAGGTGTGTCTTTCATAGGATATGACATTTCTTTATTTATTTATTTTATCCTCACCTGAGGATATGTCCATTGATTTTTAGAGAATGTGGTAGAGAAAGGGAAAGATAGAAACATCAAAGTGAAAGGAACACTTTGATTGGTTGCCTCCTGCATGAGCCCTGACCTGGGCCCTAGCCAGGGAGGAGCCTGTAACCTAGGTACATGCCCTTGATGAGAATCTGCTGGCTGGGCTGAGGGATACCCTCCTTCCATGCACAAATTTAGTGCGCCAGGCCTCTACTATATTAATGATATGCTAATGCCAATCAACCACTCAATGTAATGTGCACTGACCACCAAGGGGCACTTGCTCCTACTGGTAGGTGAGCTTGATGCTGGATCTGGCCAATTGGGACTGAGTGAGATGGGCCAGATACAACCTGGAACCCTCCTGCAGTCCCTCCCCGGCTGGCCAGCCTTCTGTGTCCCTTCCCAGCCCTGATCATGCACTGGTGGGTCCCTTGGTCTGACCTGTGCCTTCTCACAATCCAGGAGAGCCGGTTTTGGCCCAATCCCGCAGGCAAGGCCGAGGAACCCAACTGGTGCACAAATTTGTGCACTGGGCTTCTAGTATTCAAATAAGTTCTGTAATTAGTCTCTTCCCATGTCCCTGCCCCACTTAGATTCCTCAGTCTGTTTCTCAATCTATTTTGTTTTTCAGTTTATTTTGTTCATTAGACTTTACCTGTAAGTGAGATCATGTGATACTTATCTTTATCTGAGTGACTTGTTTTGCTTAGCATAATACTTTTTTATGTCTTTCAGGAAGAAGAACGATTGTCCATTCAAAATTTTAGGTAAATTTTTTTAGCTTTAGTATTAATAAGAGAATTTTTTTTTAAATAGAAGTAAGTGTTTTTAAAAATCACTTTATTTTTTTCTTTTAGCAAACTTCTGAATGACAACATCTTTCATATGTCTTTGTTGGCATGTGCTCTTGAAGTTGTAGTGGCTACATATAGCAGTAAGTTAAATTTTAGTAAATAAGCAATTTAGTTTAATTTAAAATTAAAAAACCTTATTGAAAGTGTGGTTTGTTTTTGGGAAAGATGGATGTTGTGAAGGTGAAAAAATGCATATTTTAAATCAGTATATACTGAAGAATGTAATGGGTCACAATAAACCATTTATTTAATTGGCTTATATTCTGCATTATTTCAAGCTATCTTGGGAATAGTATTTCAGTGGGCTCCTTTTTGGGGCTATTCTGAATCTAGGAAATGTACCTATTGAAATCTCTTCAAATACTTATGAGATTGTAAAATGCTAAGAGTACTAAGGAGCTGCATCCACTGATAGGAAGCACTGCTTTAGATACTGTGATCATGTGACCAAAGGTTGGAGCTAGAATCCACCAGATAATCAGAAAGAGGCCACTGATATGTATGTGTGTGTGTGTGTGTGTGTGTGTTTTAATATTTTAAACGTGTTATTTTGCAGATAAGGTTGTAAATATTTAAAAATACTTCCTTCCTAAAAACAAAAAAGATCATCTAAGGAAACAAATACACCACAAAAGAGAAACTTAAATTAGTAAACAAATATGGAAAACTGTGAATCCTCATTAAAACAAAGAAATGCACATTTACAAGAAATAACATTTTCTAAGCAATTAGCAAAATCTTAAAGATTCCTTCTTTCCCTCAACCAAGTATTGATGAGATAGTTAAAATGGGTATGTTAATGCATTGCTGGATTAGATATTAAAGCTGTCCCTGATATAAGTTTGGGATATTTAAACCTTTGAAAATTTGACATAAATTAGGAACGTCATTTATGCACATACACTCAAAATTTCAAAAACTATATACTGGGAGTCTGTGGGCTCCAAAATAAAAATTATGTTCTAAATAAAAAAAAATTTATTTAATCTTTTATAGTGTTTTTAATTTTTTTGTTTGATAAAATCTTTCAGCCTAAAAATATGTAGTTTAACATTTTCATACCTAAGTTACACTTTTTTTCTTTCATTTTTAGGAAGTACATCTCAGAATCTTGATACTGGAACAGATTTGTCCTTCCCATGGATTCTGAATGTACTTAATTTAAAAGCTTTTGATTTATACAAAGTGATTGAAAGTTTTATCAAAGCAGAAGCCAACTTGACCAGAGAAATGATAAAACATTTAGAGCAATGTGAACATCGAATCATGGAATCCCTTGCATGGCTCTCAGTAAGTAACTAGCTAAAATAATTAAAGATATTTATGTGAATTTGGCATATTTCTTAGTGAGAGATATTAATTAAACTTTATCTCAAGAACAAACATACAATTTAATGAATATGTGATGTCAGTGGATAGCCCAAGAATCAAGTGGAATATAAGAATGGAGTTTTCTTTTATTTGAACTCCCTTGAATATCTGATATAGTGATTTACTTAGGAAAATCTTTTCTTAAAGTATAGCACTTTGAAACAAAGCTGAATTCTTTAAAGTGTGGAAGTAATTTATTTAATAATAGAGGTGTCATGTTTGAAAATTTAAACATCGGCTCTTAAATTTTAACAAAGAGATAAAAATTTTTAGATTATCCTATTTAGATGATTTAAAAGTAGATTTTAGTTCAATTTAGTGGATTTTTTCCTATTGTTAAAAATAGTTATAAAAACCTATACTATTGTTCAATCATCATCATGTTTTTATAGCATTATAGATAAGGCACAAATCATATTCTCTAGGTATTCTATTTATAACATAAAAAACTATTAAGGTTTTATGGCATTTTTTATGTAGTAATAATAAAATACTTGAAGTTCTATAATGTTCTTTAAGTCTGCATAGTTGGGTAAAGCTTTGTGAAACATCAGATTTATAGCTTAATATAGAATTGTTTTTTTTGAAACTGTGATGCATGCTAGTATATATATTTTTATTTATACCAGCATATAAAAATGGCAATGAAAAATTGACATTTTAATTACATTAGAATCCTAATCTATACATGTAATCTTAATTTTAATTTTTTGGAATTTTCAAAACTTAATGGCTAAGAGGTAACTCATTTCTTAGTGTTTGCTTATATTACTATACAGACAGTGAATAGAAAAGAAGGTGAGGAGGGCAAGTTGATAAAAAGGTGTTATATTGCTAACCATTAAATTTAGTAACTCCTGATAGAGGAGCTTTCACTTTATAAGAAAAGGAATAAGAGAAAATTCAAATTTTGAGAAAATAAATAAATGAGTAAAATAGTACTTTTCACAGGCTGATATGCCAACTCCTTGAAGAAACTACAATCAAAACATTTACTGTGTCATCTCAAAGTGACTATTCTCATTTCTTTTAGAGAATTACTTTTAATTCCATCAATGCATATCTGCTCTATGCCTTGCAGTGGGATAAACATTGTAAGGATACAGAAAAGACATGGATTTTGAAAATTGTAGAGGAAATAGTAGATATTTTTTGTTTAAAAATTGCTTGTGCTGCCCTCACCAGTTTTGCTCAGTGGATAAAGTATTCGGCCCCATGAACTGAAGGGTCCCGGGTTCGAGTCTGGTTAAAGGCATGTACCTGGGTTGCAGGCTCAGTCCCTAACCCTGATAAGGGCACATACAGGAGGCAACCAGCCGATGTTTCTTTCTCACATCGATGCTCCTTGCTCTCTATCTCTTCCCCTCCCACTCTCTAAAAATCAATGGAAAAATATCCTCAGGTGAGGATTAACAACAAAAAATTGCTTGTGCCCAAGGCTACTTAATTAGTACATTGTACAGTGTTCTAGGATTCTAAACAATATTCCTTTATTTTTGAGAAATTTTGGAGAATAAGTGACATGCTTGAACATTCCATGCCTAGATCTAGAATCAGAGCAAATTTCCCTAGTCTTTTGATTCTTTATCACAAGAATTACTCATTAAACTATAGATTAATAACAACATATTTAAATGGACACAGGGAAACATTAAATGAGGTATTACTTGCCATACTCCCAATAATATAATGGAAGAACATATTTGTAATTTTTACTTGTTGATATTTATTTTTTTATTTTTCAATTACAATTGACATTCAATGTTATATTAGTTTTAGGTGTACAGACATTTATATAAATTACAAAGAGATCCCCTCGATTAGTCTAGTACCTATATTATACTATATAGTTATTATAATATTATTGATTATATTCCCTATGCTATACTTTATATGCATTTTGTAACTACCATTTTGTATTTCTTAATTCTTTTTCACCCACCCCTCGAAGCCCCTTCCATCTGGAAACCTTTAGTTTGTTCTCTGTATCTCTGAGTCTGTTCCTATTTTGTTTGTTTATTTGGTTCTTCAGATTCCACATATAAGTGAAATCACCTGGTATTTGTCTTTCTCTGACTTAATTTCACTTGGCGTAATGCCCTCTAGCTCCATCCATGTTGTCACAATAGTAAGATTATATTCTTTTTTATGACTAATACTAGAGGCCTGATGCATGAAAAGATTGGTGCAAGTATAGGCTTTCCTTCCCTGGCTGCAGGCCCACCTTCCCCGGCCTGGAGCCACCTTTCCACCTTTGCTCCATCCAAAGCTGCCTTCCACCTCTCGTCTCATCATGTCAATTTGCATATTTCTTCCTTATTGGCTGTGGGTGCTTCCATCTTTGTTGTGAAATTACTGTCAATTTGCATATTCCATCTTTATTAGATAGGATTTCATTTTATTATATGTACTATATTCATTGGTCTTGTTGATTGGAGCATTTAATCCCTTTACATTTAAAGTAATTATTAATAGTATGTAGTTCTTGCCATTTTATTAGTTGTTTTCTCATTGTTTTTTTTTTAACCTCTTCTCTATTCCTTCCTTATTTTCCTGCTCACTTTTGTTGTATGTTGGTGGCTTTCTGTAGTGTTTTGTTTGTATTCCTTTCTCTTTATTTCTTGTATCTCTCTTATAGATTTTGGGTTTGTAATTATCAGGTGCTCAATATATATCAAGTTATATTGATAGTCTATTTTAAATTGATGGTTGTAGAGTTAGATAATTTATTATCACTTTTTCTTGTCTTTTGAGTTAGGCCTGTAGAGCTATGAACTCTCAGGACTGCTTTCACTGTGTTCCATAGATTTTGAATTTCTGTGTTTTCCTTATCATTTGTTTCCAGGATGTTTTTAATTTTTTCTTTGATCTCTTTGGTAACCTAATCATTATTTAATAGCATGTTATTCAGCTCCAAGTGTTTGAATTTTTTACTGTTTTTATTGTAGTTTATTTCTAATATGCCATTGTGGTCTGAGATGATGGTTGATATCAATCTTCATGCATATGGGGAGACTTTGCCTGTGACCCAATATGTGGTTTATCTTTGAAATGTCCATGTGTATTTGAGAAGAACGTATATTCTGTGCCTTTGGGGTGAAATGTTCTGAAGATGTCAGTTAAGTCCATCTGATCCAGTGAGTCATTTAGGATTTCTGTTTCTTTGCTAATTTTTTGTCTAGAGGATTTATCCAGTGATGTCAGTGTGGTATAAAAGTCCCTTGCTATGACTATATTGTTGTCGATCTCTCCTTTGATATCTTCCAAGAGTCTTTTTATGTATTTGGGTGCTCCTGTATTTGGTGCATATATGTTTACCAGGATTATATCCTCTTGTTGTATCGATCCCTTTAGATTATGAAGTGGCCTTTCTTATCTCTTGTTATGGCCTTCACTTTGAGGTCTATTTTGTCAGATATAAGTATTGCTACCTGGCTTTTTTTTTTTTTTCATTTCCATTTGCCTGGAAGATATTTTTCCATCTCTTCACTTTCAGTCTGTGTGAGTCCCATGATCTGAGGTGGGTCTCTTATAGACAGCATGTATATGGGTCATTTTTTTTTAATCCATTCAGCCACTTACTGTCTTTTGATTGAAACATTTAGTCTATTTATGTTTAAAGTTATTGATAGGTACTTGTTCGAATCCATTTTCCTTTTTTGTATCTGTGTCCCTTCTTTCCCATTTTATTTCTTCTTTTACACCAGTCCATTGCATTGATGGCTTGGTAGTAATAAAGTCCTTCAGTTTTTTTTTTTTTTTTTGTTTTTTTTTTTTGTTTGTTTGTTTTTGCCTGTGAAGCTCCTTATTTTCCCTTCAATTTTGAATGATAGCCTGGCCCACAGGGCTGCTGCTCCTCGGACAGGTGCAGGATGCTTGTGGCTGCTGCTCCTTGGCTGGGGACAGACTGCTCACACTGCTGCTGTCCCTCGGACGGTGGCAGGCTGTGTGGGCTGCTGCTCCTGAGATGGGAGCGGCCTGCTCGTGTGGATGGGGCCCGGCTGCTCACTCGACTGCTGCTCCTCAGACGGGGGAGGCTGCTGGTGAGGCTAATGCTCCTCGGACAGGAGCGGGCTGCTCCTTGGATTGGGGCGGGGGCGGGCACGGCTGCTCACACAGCTGCTGCTCCTCGGACAGACGGGTGCGGGCTGCCTGTGGCTGCGGCTCTGGATGGGGTCGTACTGCTCACATCCTGCCGACCTCATGGGGGTAGGCTGCGCGGGGGCTGCAGTGAAGTGTCATTCTTTTGGCTAGTTTGAGATCCCACTGTTCTGACCTGTCTGAGGCTTTTCAGTTTCCCGTTGCTGGGACTGAATGTCTTCTCTTTAGGCCACTCCCTGAGGACTTTCAGTGACTATTCAGATTTATTTATTTATTTTTTTTTGTATCCCTTGTGCTACGGGTGTAGTCTGGGTGTGGCTGTATTGGTTGCCTGGAGACTGCTGGGAGGGGCTACCCAGGCCCCATGCATCAGGTGTGACTCAGCCTCAGACTCACAGCCACTTCTCCTGGACCCTCTCCTCTCCCCAGCCTCTCCCCAGACTCCACAAGTCCGCACCTCCTCCTGCACCTCAGCCACGGGTGAGTGTCTGTATCTGAAAGGTCCTATCAACTAGGTTCAGTGAAGTTAAGCAAAGACCACAAATAGGGGAAAGAGCGGCACCTCTGCGAGCCCCTCTCCCCCGCACGGCGGCCTGGGCAGCCATCCTCTGCGCCCCCCTGGGCTCAGTCTGTCGGGACCGTGGACCCAGATCCAGAATCCCCAGCCGCCTGCAGTCCTGCGGACCTCTCCACAGTCAGACGCTGTGCTGTCCCAGGGGACGCGGCTCGGTGCTGCGCTGTCTCCCTCTGACCCTCTGAGCTCCGAGGCCTTGCAGTTCTCTCCAGCTCAGGTCTCTGATTTTACTGTTCTCCAGGTG